ACATCGAGATTCACAAAGTGCTGCGCCTGCCACGAAATCTGCACATCCAGATTCACAAAGTGCTGCGCCTGCCACGAAATCTGCACATCGGAGATCCAAAATGAGCAAATTGCACGAGGCTTTCGCAAATTTTCAACTGCGTTTCAGAAATGCTGCGCCTGCCACGAAATCATGCCTGCAGGTCATACGAAATGCTGCACTGGCCACGCAAAAGCATCCTCAAGTTCAAATTCCAAAAATGCGACCCCTCTCACGAATTCAGCCGCTTCACCTCAAAATATCGCATCCATGGTGCGGATTCCCTGCGCCTGCCATGTGAAACGCAATCCTGCGAATGACACACGCCTGCCAACGTTTTTGCAACGTCCACAAAACACTGCGCCTGCCACGAAATTTGCAAAGTCTCCGATTCCTTGCACCTGCCACGAAAAGTGACCTTCTCGAGGCTCCAATAACCCCCGCCCCCCCCCCTAGGGGTCGTGGGTCAACCCACAACCAGCAGCCACAGGCGGATCACCTTTCAGGCAGCTACAAACCAGCAGCCACAGGAGAACAGCAGCAGCATGAACAACAACACACGCAAAACAGCAGCAAACCAGCGGCCGCAGCAGTATCCAACCAGGGACACTCGCAGCAGCAGCATCAGCAGCAACTCAAGCACCAGCAAAGCAGTAGGAAAGCAACAGCCAAGCAGCAGCACCAAGTACCAGCGGCAACAGCAGCAGCAGAAGCAGCAGCAAAGCACCAGCAGCAACAGCAGCAGCAACACCACAGCAAAGAAAAGCTTTGGCACAAATCCAGTCCCACCAAGCTACAGGGTGGATTTGAACCGAGGTGCTTCACAAAACCATCGTAGGCAGGAAGAGGGTAGTTTTGCGGAAGGGGGTGGCTACCCCTGGTGGGCACGTTGGGTCGTTGGGTTAGAAAAGTGTGTAGCAGGGTTCAAAAAGAAGGCAACGAGGTTAAAAAAGTAGGTTGGAGGGTTAAAAAAGCATGATTTACGGGTTGAAAAAAAGAATCCCAACGGGTTCATTTAATAGTCTTGGTTACGCTACACATTTTTCTGACCCGGGGTTAGAATAGCGACTATGGTGTTTAAAAGCAAAAAGGTCAGGGTTAGAAAAAAGAATATCAGTGGGTTCCAGCCCCTTTGGTGAGGGGTCACCTTTCTGAAATGGCCTCCAAGGGGCCTTTTTCAGCTACCGTGTCCTCCCCCTGATGCCCATGGGATCCGTCCGTTACAGGACACCGGATCCGTCCCAAGCCCCAGCGGCTCGAAGCTGTCACCGGGGAAGTTCACGGTGATGGGCGTACCTGGACGACACGTGAGGTGCCGGCGAAACGGTGGCAGGTGCGGGCAGGAGTGGTGGCTGACCGGTCCCAATGCCGGCCAATGACTGAACATCCACCCGTTCTTTCTAAGGTCCTGGATCTAGGGGTGTCTGCACGTGTGGCACTTTCTACAGCACGGATTGGTCCAGTGATTTTCCTCCCGCCCCGCTGGTCCCAGAGCTCGTGGACCAAGTGGTTCTTGCTCGTGGACAACCGGGCGCTGGCTGGATGTCTCCCTGTCTTGGGGCCAGCCCTTTCATCTTAGTGGCGAACTTTGGCCCATATACCATCATTGTCAGCACGTACAACGAAAAGGACATCATCTCATCTCATCGGACGATTCCCGTTGTGATCTTCCAATGTAGTGTACACCTGCCTTCAATGCACAAAAAAAGAAACAACCAACCCCAACCATGAGCAAAGACCCTCAACAAACACACCTCGCTCCGGGGTTCTTCGCACCTGTGGCAAAGTTCTCGCTGTTGATCGTGAAGAACGTGTTCCTTAGAAGCGGACGCGTGTGCACGAAGCGAGGCATCGTGGTTTCCCAACGGGTCCAGTCCGAGCCAGTAACACCTGGTCCTTGACCTTTCTCTTTTGATCAACTTCAATATAATGAGGTCTGTGTAGCACATCTCCCTTTAACGAGTGTCCCGCAATGTCCGGCCAAAAAACGACGCCAGCGACGCGCCCCAAAAACAGGGTGGCCCGAAAACGCCAAGGGCAAGGGCAAAATACCAGATCCGACAACACCATGAATGGAATTGGGATGTTCACGTATTATCCAAATATATCTATCTATATCTATCTATCTATCCATCTATCTATCAACTCTAATACAGTAATCTAATCTGATCTGTATATATACTATAAGTCTAGTCAAGTCTTGTCTAGTCTTAGACTCTAGTCTATCTATCACATGTTCTTTGCTGGGACCAACCTAGGCAATTTCACCTTTGACCAGGAGGCACGTAAGAGGAGTCTGGGATGAACCATTCCAGCTTGAAGTCCTGAAGGTCGCGGCACGCCCAGCCACCACGTGGATATCTTAAAAACACCCGATCACTGGCAGACCGGGTCTATTTCCCTTCTTCCAGGAGGTGTTGACCCTGGAAATTTGGGTGGGAGGTCTCCCCATTTAATCACACATCCAAAAGACGGACAAAAACACAGCAGGAAAAACATAAACCAAACGACAGCCCTAAAAACGTCTAACTCAGATCGAAGTCGCACAAACGACCTGGGAGGTCCACGACCAGGGACACCATCTACAGGCTACAGGCACTACCTCAGCTAGGTCTTTGGCGTTCGAACTCCATGTCCTTCGTCCATGTCCCTGTCTGCTGTTTCCCCATCGCCCGCGCGTGGCGCGCGCGCACGTCGTGTCCCGCGCCACACGTTCCTTGTAGATCTGCGTGGTGCCGAAGATCCCGACGCCGGTGAGGATGGCGAAGAGCAGGAAGGTCAAGGCCTGGTCGTTCCGCTGTCAAGGTATCTACGTTTGTCTGGAGCTGAACTGGCCAAAACGTCCAAAAGCCAAGTCAGTGCCCGGGGACACTGCCAAGCACCGTGATTTGCAAGGCAAAGGGTCTTCACTCTTCACTCACCGTTTTCCTCACCAAGTGTCTCTCGACACACAGGTCGAACCGGTGAAGCTCAGCGGCACGCCGCGCGGGCGACACAAAAGGAAAAACTCAAAAAGGACAGGAGCACACTTTGGGCCACGAAAAGCAGGCGACACCTGGGAAGCAAATGGTCACTTCTCCGTTTCCAAAAGCCATCCAATAGTCGTCGTGATCCTTTTGGCAGGATCCGCTGAGGCCTTCGACCGGGAAATGCTCTGCTTGGTATTGCACAGAGGTGTCATCGTCACAGGGCACCTCTGCGGCGAGGCCGTTGCTGCTGCTGGGGCACAGATTGTTCTTCACATACATGGCGTATATCTTCTGTTCACTCGGGATCTTGATAATCACCCCGATGTACTCTAAAGACATCTTTAGGTCCAAGATGCGACTTCTATCCATTTCCAAATGGCACTGAACGATGCCAGTCCCAACAAGTTTGCCGCGGATTTTGTCCGGTGCTCCAGCAATTGCCTTTGGCCAAGGTCGACTGTTTGTGATGTTGATGCTCACCACATTTGCCCCCCTGGCATCTTTTCAACACATTGGCCCAACAAAGTTTCACAATTTCGTGGATCTTCGATTTGCCAAAATGGTGATTCTTGAATCGAATGGACTCCACTGTGTCCTTCATCAGCGGAAGCTGCCATGAGAACTCGCAAGGGGTCTGAGGACTTTTGCTCCAATCCTCATCGGCCATGGCTGCAAACCGTGGCCGCTCTGAAGGGCTCCAGCGGAAGGAATACTCGCCACGTGCAGGAACATCTTGCCATAGCTCGACCCCTTTGTCAGTTGCCGTTGTGGCAATTGCACCGTCGACTTGCAGGGTGCGTCGCCTCTTGATGTGCAAGATAAGCTCGTGTAATCTTGTTCAACTCCTGTGACGATGGTGGTCTTCTCCCAATTCACCAAGCTCTTGTAGCTAGAGTCATAGAAAAGAGCTTCACTCTAACCAGGGCTTGCGAAGCATGCAGTGTGATTGGGATAATTCTCACTTGTCATCGCCCAACCACCTGTGTAAGCACAATACGCCTTTTGGGTGTCCGTCACCAAAATCATCAAGTAGGAGGTCTGTCCTCCCAAGCATTTGGCATAGGCAGCGTTGAACCTTTCAGCACATGTGGGCGCCAACTGCTGAGCGGGCGTTGCACCTGAATGGGACGGGCCTGGGGCTAAACGCTCTGGATACGCATGCGGCATGGGATGCCTCGGAGTACACCCGGACCTCGAAACTTCCTCACAACTGTGAAGACCTATGGCCCCAAATTCTAACATGGATGTGGCAGAACGCTTTCGAACATGTGGCAGAACGCATCGTCTTCAAGTCTCAAAAAATGCAGGGCCATGCTACCCATGTCTTCACCGCAATGATAATACATTCCCTAGTAATACATTCCCTTGAATCACTTCTCTTATACCCTCCAACTAATTCACATATAGTTAGTTCCTTCAAAGGATTCCACTGGAGCTCAGCGCTCACCAGAGCTTAGCGCCCGGCCTGGCCCAGCGGCTTGGTCGTTTGCTCTGTGAAGGTCCGGAGGCCTTCGACGGAAGCGTGAGGTGGTGGAGGTGTCGCGGTGGTTCGCGAGGGTTTGGAAAGGCTGGAAAAAAGAAAAGACAGACCATCCATGGGACTAAAAATCCAGTTACCTACATGGATGGGCCATAAATGGAGATTATATAATATATAATCAATGGGCCGGGTGAACATGTATGTAACTAATCCAACTCCTAGGGCTCCAGGCGTACCAAGTCATACCTTCTTTTCGGTTCGGTGGGACTGGGGCAGGACTGGAGGGTCTAGGGAAAAACTTTCTTTGGGAGTGGCATCTACAGTATCAGTAATTATGTATAGTTATATAATATATATAATATGTATACAATATGTATGTTCGTATATGTACGTATACACCCTGATCAGCTGGGAGTGGTTGAATGCATGTGCTTTGTTTCTTGTGTAATATTCCTTGCGTGGGGTGTCTGGACAGCAGGGACTGTGAGTATCGTGAATATAGGTGTTCATATAGCCATGAAAACCAGTCCTTTTCCAAAAGAGTTTGGGTAATCACGCTTTTGAGTCGAAACGTCCTCCATTCATGTACATTTTAATGTCTATAAGCCTTAGCATCGAAGAGTGGCGAGTGGACTCGAAACCAAACGAAGGGTGGGTGTTTGGCCGATGGGTTTGGCCCATGTCCTGGGATCGTTCGCTGCTTTTGGAGCACCGAACCGGGACGGCCTGGGACGGCCTTCACCGTGGGACATACCGTCGAGTTCTCCGAACCGTGAGCACCGTCGAGTTCGGTGGCGGGACATCCGGACATCCGGCCCCTCGAAGCTCCAGAGAAAGCGCTTGGGAATACTGCTGGGAACTGCTGGGAACAAGTCGTTTGCGTAAATTCAGGAGTCTCACTCTGTCCATCTCCTTCTCAAAGAAAGGGTTGCCATTTGAGCCCGTAGCCCCAAACACTCAATGGAACTGGCATGCATTCGGAAGTCTTAGATAGGCATCCATAGTATCCGGTCATGGTACCCCCACAAAGCCACACCCAGCTGATGCATAGGAACTGATTCGTCCTATATAGGCCTATAGTCGTTTATTACAGTGGTTTCAGAGGTTCGATGGCACAATCCCCAAGTTTGGTGGTTTTCACGGACCCCCATCTACAGTAAAAAACAATGTAGGGGTGCCAGTGCCATCGAACCTCTGAAACCCACTCCACCTGGCTTCGTCCGAGCTTAAGCCGCTGGTTCGGCCATCTCCACCGAACTTCTCCAAAGAGTCATTGGCTTTCTCTCCCGAAACCCCGAGCCTTTCTTGATCAATCCGCCCTTGAAGGCCTCGTCATCGTGCGAGAAGCGTTCCAGAAACACTCTCACTCACGGGTGAACGCCCGTGCGGATCATAGATTACTCTATCCCCCCGATGAGAACGGATCATTTAACATAACATTCACTTACTATTGTACAAATCTCGGTTTGCCTTTAGAGCTTCCGATTCCAAATCATTGACGTCTTGCATAGTGTTTGCATAGTGAGCAAACAAACAAAAGGTGGCTGTCTAACATGCACAACATGTGAGAAAATGCATGTACAACCCAGAGTGTGTGTGTGTGGGATTGTTTGGGTATGTGTGAAATACGGTATACGTTATATTATAGTTGAAATATCTTCGAAAAATTGAATCATTGCTGCCAATGGATGCCAAAAACGAACGTCTCGCTGTGTATTCTGTGTGGGTTTCTTTCTGTGGGTTTCTGGAGTGTCAGGCAGCAAGCCCGGCCTCGTTGGAACCGGATCGTTGCGCTTTGGACCACGACGAACATCGATGGTTTTCCACGTGCGGAACGCGGGAGGTGAGGACCCGAACACGACAAGGACTTGGCTGAAGGAGGTGTTTCCAGGACAGCTGGCTGAAGACCTGGATCCTGAACCATCCTGAGACCGAAAAACCAAACAGCCTTCCGAACATCATCGCCTTTCTGCCGGCGCAGAGAGGCTACAAGGGTTGATGCTGCTAGAGAGGTCTTCCGGGCTGTGTCAGTTCCGAGGTAAGCATTCTGGCTGACCAGGACAAAAAGGATCTCCAACCGCCCCACATCTTCCGAACACATCTTCCCACCCTCAACGACTCTCCGCATCCGAGACTTCGCGGTTGTAGTTGCACTCCATGTTTCATGGCTCTTCAAGCTAGCGTCCACAGTCTTACACCGCCCTTCACCCTGGTTCCGAAGGGCTCACGAACCCCACCGGTTTTCCATGGTTTTCCCAACCGACACGCGCCGTCGGCCGACGCCCCGGAGCCTTCTGGGGCAGGCAACAGCAACAGCATCCCTGGGGATCCTCGAGTTCCTGGGTGGACGGGAACTCGGGGGGGGGGGGGGTCAAAACCACCGTCCAAGCCATGTACACAGACCAAATGCGCCAAAAAGACATGTCCGATTGTTGAACAATTGGGGGGGGGTCTGAGCCGTGAAATTCCGTGCTCCTGAGTTGACTAGAACCCCGAAGCAAGAATGAGTTGTGTTGAAGGAGTTGGCACATGGCCATGATTCGTTTGTCTGTGTGCAACACTTCCAAGATATCGTCGAAGCACCCGTTAACCCCTGCCCGTGATGGATCACCTGCTACTGTGACCAGGTTCGCGCACAAGACATAAGAGGAGTCCCCGCTCCCCGCAAATGTCGACGAAGATGGAGGCGGATAATTGCCAATGGGAAAACAATGTTCCTCTACAAAGCAGGGGCAGCAAGGGTTCTCCTTTTTTCAATGTTTGAGTCGGAGAGCAAACTGGACAAAGTACTGGACAACTGATCAAATCTGATCTGATCAACTCCGCACCCCAGTTTGAACACCTCACATGATGCAAACATTAAAGAAGCAACACGGAGGAGAATCCTTTTGGGCACCCCCTCCCCATCCCTCCCAAATAAAGGCGTTGCGCAAGTGTCTCGCTCTTTGACCTTGAAGCAACAGCAGCAATCCAAGCGACTGGCCTGAGTACCTGCCACAGACGACTTGTTAACGATCAACATACCAGTAGTAGATTCTGCGGAGCAATTGCTTTTTCAGCGGTGTCGGTTGAGCCATTCTTTCTCCTCCTATTGGTCCTTTTGGGCGTTACGGTTTGTAGTGGTGAATCCCCTTTATGGTCAGGAACACCAAACCAAAACCACCAGTCCGACCCAGAAGCCAAAGGGGTCAGTTCTGGCAGCAGCCCTTCAACGATTTCGCATGAGCGAGTGTGAGCTGTTGGGGAAAAAACGGGACGCCCTGGATTAAGAGACAAAAATGGAACCTGAAAACCACTGGGTTGCGGACATCGTCTTCCAGTTCATTTTCAGCTTCCATGTGGGTCTCTTCCCAGGTATAATGCTTGAACATCCATAATGCAAAGCGGTACGGTTCTAGGATGAATCAGGATTAATCGACCCTTTCGCATACTAATTTTGTCTATTTTTAATGATCTTGGTTGAGTGGTGAATAAAATCTTCTGAACTGCTTGAACCCCCGCGGTGGCGCACGTTTGGCATTCAAGGCCAAGCACGGCAAGAACACGGTCAGCTGGAAGGTGTAGCAAAGCACGATGGAGACACCTCTGGACCAGGGTTTTCCACGCGGTGAACTCAGTCCAATCAGGTCTCATTTGGTGTTGGCAACAGAACCAACTAATATCATAAAAAGGGATCATGCTGATGTATAGTCTATAGAGTCCAGTCTAGTCACACAGTGGCCAGAATTATGTGCAATTGAACTAACATGAACTAACCCTCTGCCCATCAAGAAGGGAAAAGCATGTAACTGCGCAGCTTTCTTGCTTCATATTCCACTTACTCTGTCCATCTCTCTCCCGACCATGCTCTTGTGGGTGGGCAAGATCCACACACCCTCCAACCGTGCTGGCCAGGCCTACGGCCGGCCTGTCCGGCTCCCAGACAGGTTCTCAAACCCCTCCATCGCCCCGTACAGACTCCCCCCAGCCACTTGACCCGTGACTGTGCTGTTTCTGCAAGGCTTCCCCATCTGTTGCCAAGTCGCAGGTTTCACCAGCAGAAAGCTGCTGCCCCACCCACCTCCACCGCACCAACCCCTGCACCAATCGTCCGCATGTGCCTGCGTAGGTGCAGAACCAGCTGAGCGCCGGGAGGATCGTCGTGGCACCCACCAGGAAGGCCAAGGCGTCCGTCGCCGAGGTGATCAGCACCTCCGCGTCCCCCCACGAGCGAGCGAGGCCCCGGTCGTGCCGCGTGTGTCGCGTGTGTCGCGAGGTTCAGCGCCGAATGAAACGGGTGTCGGACACCAGGTCGACCCAAAGGATGAAGAAAAAAAGGAGAGATCATTCAAGTGAGATCCCCACTATAGGTGCCGGACTTGCCCTTCCCCAAACACTCCATGGGCATCCGATATGTGTATAGCTATATATATATATGTATAATCATATTGATCCTATATATATATATAAGGGTTGAAAAGGGGTCAATGATGTCAGGAGTTTTGGGGGTCAATTCTGGGTCCAATGAGGTGTCAATGATAGGTCCAATGCTGGGTCCAGGTCCGATGTGTTCGTGTCTGCTGGGCGCCCCCACCGAGATGCCGCCGGTGCGCGCCGTCTGGGCGATGATCTCCGGCACAGAGACTTCGCCCTGGCGTGTTTGGAAGGTAGCGAGGCCCTTGGTGCCTATAGTAGCGATGCCCTTGTAGCTTCTTGCTCCTGTTTGCCTTCTGGTGCGGCCTAATACACTAATTGAACTTGTGGACTGGGACATGCTGGCAGAATCAGGTAAGAACTGGCAAGAATACAGGATCGCAAGTTTCAGGCAAGAATTCTTGAGGGTCTCTGAGGTACATATTCTGAAGGGATTTGGGGTGGGGTGGCAAAACCTGTGCGGACCATTACAAGCTACCGTTGCCTCACTACCGATGGGTTTGTAGTGTATTGTAATGTGAGTGATGTTCATGATCGATGCGTACCAAGCCTTTGTTTGGTCTGCGTGAGTGTTGGACATACACTGGGCTCCCGGCTCGTTCGGTTTTTGGGCTTGAAATGCAAGTTTACCCCTCGTCGCATCTCAGACGGGCTTAGAATGTCTTATATAGATCTGTAGATTCTGTGGTAGGCTATATAATGCTATATAGATCCTCGATCCTGTTCCCTATCCTCAACCGCAAACCGAAATAGCATTTCTCACATCACCAACACAAGAAAAGATCAAGCTAGATCCAGGAGTCACATTGCTCGTTTTGGGGGGTGCTTGAGACGCCAGTCGTGAGTGGGATGTTCCCCTATACCCTCCATCTTCCGCACCCCGTCCCGTTCTTCACGTCCCAGTTTCACCAAGCTGTGCACACCCACCACGGTTTTCACTCGAACATGCTGCCTTGCATGCTCTCTTGTGAGTCAAATACTCAGAGGTCAGAACGAAGGCATCATCCACCCCCAGGCCCAAGAGCAAGAAGTAGAGGTTGTTGTTCAAGTTGCCTTGGAAAGTCGGTCGGGCTGGTGAACATGAGATGCGGCAAAAACCGGGTTTACCGGCTCCCTTTGAACCAAAAAGGGAGGTCCCAAAATGGATCCAAATGGGTATATGTCATGACAGATGGTAATTAATTGTGTTTTAATGTTTTTTAACCATATTTGTTCATCGTCTCAGCTGAAAAAGGGCCTGATGAGTCACGGTTGCATCATCCAAACTCACCAACCTGGAAAATCCACTGGCTGAGGTGAACCCTCGGGTTCACCTCGGCACCGGACGTGGCTCCGACTTGGTCCTTCTCTCAAGTTCCTCCTGATCGCTTGGAACCTCCCGCACTTGGGCCTCCAAACCCCGATGCACCAAGCCTCTTTAAGCCTCTTTCCCCCAGCCGGGTGGACCCAGGACCCGCGATGCCCCCCGGCCACGACGCCCTCCCCATGACCGCGAAGATGACTCGTGTCTCTGCGGTCGACGGGCCGTTGGGCACACCGAAGTAGCCCATCAGGCCCAAGGTCGAGGCCACCTGCCATCCATTCGAAGCGACTGCGGCGATAGGTATGGCCCGACCCCGGAAGCGGCCCAGCGGCCCAGCGGCCCAGCGGCCCAGCGGCCGAGCCGATCGGCGGTATTTCCAGAAGCGAGGCAGGACGGTCGGGGTCCTTCGAGCCGTTCCTTTGATCTTCAAAAGCCATGGATGTAGAGTCACCAATGGCAGGCAACGTACTGTAGTGACCCCAAGAGAGCTTGCCATTAGTGACCCCCCCCAAAAAAACTGGCTGATTCCTGGTGAGTCTGGCTGAGATTGGAGTCATGAGGGACCAACACGGACTAACGAACATACAACGAAACCAACGAAAATACCACGGCACATTCACGCATGCGTGCGTATGTTGGTGCCTGCACAGAACTCCAACCTTTGTACACTCAGGAAGATTAACATGGAACCTGAAAATTGACCTTTGGAAGACTATTTTCCTCTACAACCCAGTGGTTGTCAGGTTCCATGTTAATTTTCCCGGATGTAAGTGCAAAATGCGGACCCTGCGGGGTGCTTTTGCTCTAGAAACCAGTTACTTTGTGGATTCTCTTCAGGTCAGTCAATCTTTTCAGGAGGGCAAACTGTTCCTTCTCACCTTTGGCAAGCAAACAACACAGGGCAGGAAATGTTGTTACTGTTTTGGAAGTTGACCATCTCATCACAGTTAAGATACAGTATCTCATCCAATAGGCCACATGATCCACATGTTGGAAATCCCCCTGCAGCAAAGAAGGATTTGTCTCAAAATGGATGCTCTTAAGAGACCTAAATGAAGCAACACACTTGATGCTTTCAAATTGGAATGTTTGCTTCTCATGGAAGGCGTCAAACCATGCACCTGCCGGCTGCTGAACACTTACCCGCGCAGACGAACCCGCGCAAACACTCGACTTCGCTGCGTCCACGGCGCAACGCCCGCAGGGTTCCCCCCAGGGCGCCGCGCCGTCAGTCCGACGATGCCCACCGCCACGAAGGCCATGGCCACTCCGCTGTGCACGGCGTCGCATTTGCCCAACATGATCTGCGGGCGGATGAAAACGGCCGTACACCAAGGGCCTGGACACGCTAGGAAGCCCCCCTAAGGTCCATGTGTGTCCATGAACTAGTGGGCCCTGGCAGGAGCCAAGTCTGGTCTCGAATGTTCGAGTCATGCTAATATGTTGTTCCAGACAAGCCGGCCTGATATTCAGTTCGACTGTTGTTGCTTCTGTGCATCTAATCTTTTTGGTATACGTACATAATTTATATACTGGGAGTGCAAATCTTCCAAGAACTTCTTTGAACCTCGATCTGCGCTGTTTTCGTACCAGCAGTTCCAAGCTTAATGGAGGGTAGGGGGTACCCATTGAATTTGTATATTCAAAAGGGCTCCAAAGCCCTCGTGGCACCTGTTCAAGCAGCTGACACTCAAACAAACTGCTCGTTTGCAGCCATGGCACCGCGCAGTAAACCTGAGAGGATTGAGCAGCTCGTGCAATCCGGCAACTCTTCTTGGAGACCAATACCATGTGCTGAACCAAACTACGAAAGGGCGTCCCGACCCCAGCCTCCCACTAAAAGGTGGTTCTTCTTCGACCACAGGCTTCGGGTCACCTCTCTTGCTCGTCCACCTGTTCTTCAGTGCTCCGCAAACCTCTCAGCTCCTTGCAAGCTCTCTGACACTTCAAAAACATGTCCAAGCACACTCCAGCACACAAAAACATCCTCGCCGCCGAACACCCGCCCTTTGCGGGGTGAAATCACCCCCACCCCGCAACAATTGGGTCTTCCAGGCCACGATGATCACGCCATAGGAGGCGGTCAGCTTGGAGATATCTCCGCGGATGGCGTTGCCGAACTCGTCGCCCAGCGACCGCTGGAAGAGGCCTTGGGATGCGTCCGACGACGCACGCGCGACGGACGGTGAGGGTTGGAGCAGGGACACGACCGATGGGACTGGCACATAGTTACCGACATTGACCCCGACTTCAACTTCAACCATGCAAATGTAAACCATCAACCGCTTTCTAATGTCGTTTTTGCATCAACAATTTGCATGCAGGTAAATATGCCATACATGTAGTGGGTGTGGACATGCCAGGAGGCCTGGTGAAAAAGCTCTTGCTTCAGTGAACAACAACATTCTGTTGAGCATCCCCAAAAGAACTCACACATGGAAGCCGCATGCGAGAGAGCCTTTGCTCAATAATGGCCAAAAACAATGGTCAAGATCAGTTGAAACCTGAGCAAATCTACCCTACAGGTCAATGACCTCATTTTACTGGAGTTGGTCATACGACAACAACACTACTCAGGGGGGAAATAAACAGGTTTCACTGGGTCTTTGGACTTGTAGGGTACTGTTTCTCCTTTCTCCTGCTTCAACAACTCAACATGTTACTCTGTGTTGAGAGTATGGTTTGAAAGTTATGCCCTAGAGCTCCCAGTAATTCCCTCCTCAGGTATGACTGGACCCTCCTGGCACCCGCCCCAGTCCCAACCGAAATGACCATATGACTCGAGCCCATGGCCGGGATCTTGTACTCATGCTTTTCACCCCAGTCCAGTAGGTGCAGAACACATCAAAGCACCGGAGGATCCGACCCGCCACAACCGACTCTTCAAATTCGACCCAATGGCGGATTCGACTCACGAGCGTTTTCATCCTTCACAATCCTGGCCCCGCAATGGGACGGCTTAACTGACCGAACAACCATCGTTCGAACTCCGTCCATACGCGGTCGTTTCGGAAAGGCGGGTGGGATCGTCCCCCAAACATCCTGCCCTGCCCCCTCCGTGCGGCACATGGGAGAGCCGAACCATCCAACCGAATCGAGGTGCCGCTGAACTTCAAAATACCATCCTCTTGGCAGTCCAACTTGGGTTCTGCTCGCGGATCTGCATCAATGCCCATCCTGGTGTGGACGACATCCACCCCAGCCGCATCCGGTGCGTTCGACAAACACGCGCGCGACAAAGGTGCGTCCTCCACCTGAAGAGGCCTGTCATTTCATCCAATTGGCATCATGTAAGAACCAGTGTCCCCCTTTCTTTCACCTGTTCTGTGTTACGCTGTCAAAAAAATAACAGAAGCATTGTTCAACATTTACAGAATTATAGAATGACATGGTTTGGTTCTTGCCAACAGGGTGACCACTTTGTGGTGCGTCCTCCAACCATGTCAACCAGCGACCTTTCTCATCGTAGGTGAATTTCTGACTCCTAAGCCGTGGCACCGTGGAACAAGGTTAACTAAACTATCCATCTGGATTTAAATGAGGTGGATACCCCGACCCCCCCAAAGGGTTATCCACTGCTATCCACTTTTCATAAAACTGACTCTCAATTCTTAATTCATCTTTATTCCTGAAACGACTTCGACAGGGTGAAAACTCCTGGGTTGGAGTCCACACACAAAAACTCGCCACACGCACGAAACACAGCACCAAGTGGCAAGCACAGCACCCGGCGCTCCCACTCGTCGGCTACTGGGTCGCTGACACCGGCCGTCGGGCAATAGAGTTCCTCAGGTACCGGGAGGGAAAAGTAGATATGACAATTGAATCACACAGAAAGACACCAAAGAATTCGATCTAATTTTACTCCCAAGGTCTAAGATTGTTGTACGTATCGCACAAGCCTAGCCTGTAAAACAATAGACACTGATCACCAATGCTCCTGTTCTCTTGGGCATTGGAAATCGTTCAAACAAAACCCTGTTCTTCAACAATGAGTCCAAATGTCTGACAAACCGGTCGATGATGTGTCAATGTGTGTAATTCCGGAATTCCCGATCGCCAAGACACCTGCTTGTTCAAAGCCCAAAAGCCTGCGATGTGCTTTCCGCTGGCATACTCCCACGTAGCATCGGAGGCCTCAGCTGCTTGGGTAGAGAGGAACAGTTGGGGGTGCCAGATAAAGAAGCGGCAATTATCAGGATTTGAAGTAGCAAGAAGCTACTAGTAACAAGTGCATCGCTACTAGTAGCTTCTTGCTACTAGAAGCTACACCCTTGTTACTAGTAGCGATGCACTTTGTTACTTGTAGCAAACACACAGTTTTGGTACATGAAATTGTGCCCCTCTGCATACGTACCCAGCCACTCTGTGCAACCCTAGACCTTGCACCTTGTAACGGTCGGGGTGAGATCAACATCAATCTTGTCCAGTTCGTCTGTATTTTGCTCCACCAAAAAGCAAGGAACTTCCAAACTTTGTGCCTTTTTGAGATGGCCCTGTTTCAGTCCACTCAACTAAACACTCCCACGAGTAACAGGTCCTCTTCGTTGGTCCTTCTTCGCTTCCAGGCGACTAATCCTCCCACCATGGTCTTGATCTTCGTCGGCTGAAACTCGAAGGCGCTCTCGGGCGCATCGCCGGGATCCTCAGTGTACAGTAGGTCTCAGTAGGTCCTGCAGGTCCGGAGTAGGTCCTACCTAAACTACATCATGCATCCTGTAATACTATAGTACATCAAGAACATGATAGCCTATCATGATAGCCAATAGTTGTTAGCAGGTTTGTTGGTACAATCATACATCACATGATACAAAACATTGTGAAAGAAACAACATCATAGAATATCATAGAATTAATGTTAACTACTAGTCTATTAATGTCTATTATATAATATAGGATAACTACAGTTGCTTTGACGTCTCGTCCCTTCCTGGCGGGGGTCAGTGTTCAGCATCCCACTCGCTGTGGTGGTACTGATGGAGCTCAAGCCACCCAACTGGATGCAGCCGCGATCCTGGAGGGGATCGATCCAATGGAGACCGATGGAGTGGGGAGAGTCGAAGAGAGTGGAGTGAGAAGAGGAGGGTAAAGAGAGAACGACCCTCTGATGTACCAACAGCTTCGCTATGCTTGCGACTAGCTGACTACTTTGCTTCCACCAACTCTTCCAACAGGCCCACGTCTTCCGGAACAACGACGAAACACCATATTAAGAAGAAGGTCTTCCCATCCGGCTTGCCCAGAACACCCCCCATCCGGCTTCGGAGTCCTGACAGCCGGCCATGTCGACAGGGATGGTGACTTCCTCTCCGTTCACCATCATCGTCATGGTGGGGCACCTGGGGTCCCACGGGCTGAACCGCGACCGGGTCCTGCGCTCCACCTGCGCCAGCCGAGGACGCCGCTTTAAGTCCATCCGGCTTGACGACAGCTTTAAGTCCTGCGTGACTCCGCGCCTGCGCGCGCTGTGCCGGCAACACCTGTGCCGACCAACGTCCAACCTCGATCCACACACCTGTGGTTTTGGCGTGCGCGTCCGGGACGCCTTGATCAGTCCAACCACCCCGCAATATGTGTGAAAGGAGACGTGCGAGTCCAACTTGCGCAGGCCTTCACCACATTTCACGACCCAGCTAGGCCTTCGACCCGGCCAGGCCATTCGACCCAGTGGGCCTTTGAGAAACATCAAGCAAAACACTTCAGACTACTCACGCCGAGCCAATCCCTTCTTGAGGGATTGGGAGGGTGTCGATGACAGGGGATGACAGGATACCACTTCTACCATTCTTTGTTAAAAAACCACATCTGAATACATACCACATCCGGAGATATCAGATCTCCTCCTCATGACTCCACTGGTCCCCCGATCCCGGCCGAGCTGCTTGCTCTGGCAGTAGCTGGTAGCCGTCGCACGGCACAGTTGTCGCTCGGAGGTCGTCTGATATCTCCGGCAGTTGCCTCGGCGGCGACGCGCCCGGCGCACGGCCGACCAAGCCGCCGGGGGGGGGTCTGCTGTGGTTCGAAAGGGTCAAGACTTCAAAAGAGACTGAGAGCTGTGGTCCAGGCTGTGGTGATGTCCACAAGCAAAGAAACAGGGGGGGCGATGAGATGAGTACTCAAGGACCAAGCGTCAAGAGTTCTTGCCGTTCTCGCTAGGGTTCAAATACAGGGCTCCGAGTGAAAGCAGGGCGTTACATCCTGCTCAAACCCGTATGGATCTGTACGGGAAGGGAACCAAAACACACATCCAATGAAGCTCCGACCGGCCCGGCCCCGGCCCATCCGAACTCCGCGATGTTTCGCAACTCCAAGAGGTCGACCGTTGTGGTCGAGTAGCCCGGCACTCTGGGCCTATACATATACGACGTACATCTATAATTGAAAGCAGTGCCCAACAGAATTGTCCGGCTCAAGTAGTAGGGTTGCGGGTGCCGTTGATTGATTCAAATGCATGCCACGGTCTATGAACTGATGGGGTCAACCTTTAGATATTATGAATCAAGAGAGTGGGGAACCAACATTGGTTTTCTGACATCTGAACAATATGTGTCCACATGTTTGATTCCTTCCAAGTGTTTGTCTTATTATTCATCTATTTTTAGTATTCACTACACAAATATAGATCCAGTGTTTCACCTTCTCAACTCTTCCTTGTAAGTTCTCCGGCGATTCAAACCTTCAATCCTTATCCTTCTCCACTTCCCAGCGGCTGTCGTGGCAAGGAGAGTCGCTGGTCGCCAAGGTCAAAGGGCACATCGTCTCCTGAGCCTCCGGTCAGCAAGGTCAATGCATCCGGGGTCTCAAAGGAGGCGAGTGGAGAGCCGGGTCTCAAGTATTATAACCCTAGGCTTCCAACCACCATTGATTTCATCGCCCGGCTACCAAAACCCGAAGAACCACTTGTTATGCCTAGGATTCTGTCGACATTTCTAGGACTACAACGCCAGGTCAACGATTTTTACTTATGGAAGGCTAGGAATACAGTATGTCTTGTCTTTGGTAGCTTTTGGTGTCAAAACAATGGTTTGTTTCCGTCCAAGGTCAGAACCCTAAGCGATGAGGGTCCCATGAGCCTTTGGGCAAGAATGTGAAGTCTTCCATCATCTGCCAAGCATTTGCGGTCAGAAAGGGAAATCACTCCAGAACTCATGCAATAAAAAATGTAGACTGTAGACCAAACAAACATGTCTTGGACATTGCTTCTAATTGGTGATCCGTATATAGTTCTAGTGGCCTCTCCGCACCGAACCTTCACAGACATCCGCAGCTCTAGCCTTCGATCCATTCTCGGTGGCCACGTTCGAAAGAAACCAACCACCCCGCGACGATACAAACCGCCTCCCAGCTGTTCACGGCCAACTTCACTTGATCGCTCGTCAAGTTGGAGATGATATAGTCATCATCCCTAAACCTCGGTGAAACCCATGAACAAGACCGAACCCTGGGCGGGGCGGTCGGAGACCCCGCAGCAAGTCGCCCAAAAAGGGGGAGGTGCTTCGGCCCGGAGCTCCTCCGAGGAGCTCTTTCTGGGACCGGCAACGGCAACGGTTCGGTTTCTGAGCTGAACTTGGCATGCATTTCAACTGGTCGAGTTATGTCTCCAACTTGAAGTTGGACAGCCAATCATTGACATCTGACCAATCTGCTATATAGTCTAATATAGTACTTTACATCCAACCCAAAGAAGCAAAAGACTGAATTCGCAGATTGTTCAAGGAGTCGGAGAGACGCTGATGAGACTTAGACAAGAAGAAGGGGTGTGACTCTTGCAGAAGAAAAGGCTCTGGACATGGTGAAACCATGGTGAAACCCATCCCAAGATGTAGGTTGACCATCAAATTGCCCATTCTGCTCATGTTCGCTGGTCACCCGAGCTCTCGTGAACAATGACCCACCGCCATGTCTGCCTTCAAGGCCTGCAGCAACAGGGTGACTTCTCTTTCCCCTTCCGGCGCTCCATGAAAGTCCTCCACGAGACTGCCAATGATGACCTACGTTTGGGTGGTGTTGGTGGTGAATGTTCATGATTGATGGTATAGGTCATATCGGTCATATTTATATACTACCGTGGAGCCTTCGGGTTTGGATCTTTGCGCATGTTCAAAGGGATTTATTCAGGCTTGATCCGCCATGCCGTACTCGACAGCATCCCATGCGATCCCCTGAGTTGGAGATGGTGAACGGCCTGGAGTGGACTCTCCATGCTATATCCATCTCCAAGCAGCACATCCAACACCGTGGACTTTCCACAGAAAGGGCCAAAGGAGTAGCACTTGCGACCATTAAAGACCACTGAGCCATTCACCTTAGCCGCTGGATGAGCTGGTGACTTTGGGGCTTGAACGTTGGGATTTGACCGAGTTGGTGAGTTCCTAGTATGTCACACATGGTCCTGCCTGCCACTTAGTAGATGATGGCCGACTCGTGTCGCTTCACACGTGTCACATCCCTCCAAACCATCTGTCCCAGACACGACTAATGGGACTGCCATACATGCCACGCATGGACCCCCCATACCACCCCAATTGACTATATGGCAGTCCCATTCGTCGTGTCTGGGTGTCGGGTGTGGTGCCTTGTTGCACCTCTGGAAACCGAACCCTCCGACGCTCCGCCGCTCCGCCGATCCGGACCAAACCAAAGCGGTGGTCGGACACCTCGGCCCCCTCGGGTGGTCTCCCAGTGACACTCTGTGGGTCGCCGTTGAAACCTCGGAGGCCAAGCGCGGCTTGCCGGCACGGCAGTTGGGCCGCAGCCAGGTAGGTCGGGTCGTTTGGCCAAAATGACTTCCTACAGGTCATGCAAAAAACACTTCAGGAGGTCAAGCTCGACCAGGTTCTACTGGATCAAACAGGGCTCGTGACTTGTGGGGACTTGACTGTCTGGCTCAAGAACTCGAGCCACCCCATCTCAGCCCAAACCGCCCAACGGTTAAAAGAAAGGCTAACCTATTTAACCTGCTGTCTAACATCCTTGGTAGTGATTGTTCCTTAAAAGCGCTGAAATCAATGGCGGTAATTACAAAATACTGTGCCAATCCCATGGATGTTTAACTGTCAGGGTGTTCCAGGCGAAACGTGCTCCACACAAACATCCTCCAAGCAGCTCCAGTTTCCGCTGTAGATGGTCCAGGGTCGGACGTCTCCTGTCACCAGCTGCTACCGATCGACTGCGGCCGTTCTTCGCGGAGAATGACTCGAGCACCACCGCGTCGTTTGAGCGTCGTTTTGAGCGTCGTTTTGCGGTGATGCGGCTATGTCTGGACCTCTTCGGGTGTTTAGTGTCTTGATTCTGTTGCGGACGAGTCGCAGCCACGGACCCCCTGGTCATGTTGACGGGTCGTGTTTGGAATTGGTCTAGACCTCTTCATACCAGGGTCATTCAATGGGTGTCCTGGCTAGACTACCCTACCCTACGTAAACAGGTCGAAGCGCTAGGTATATGATATTTCATATGGGGGGAGTAAGTTTTATATAATGTGCTTTACCATGGCCGTGTAAGGGGAAGACACCCCGGTTCCGGCGAGTTTATGGTAGGCGAACCTTCCAAGGGGTCGAACTGGGGGTCTAATCGACGAAGCCTCCAAATTCCGCATGACGTGTGCACTACTCATCAATCTATGACATGTGGGCTTTGATTGGGGTAGCCACCAGCACCACACGATATTGTTTGATCTGCAGAGGCGCCATAACAATGCAAGAAAAAGCCAAACAGGCATGAAAAAGCCTCGCAATGACTCAACACAAAACCTTTCGCTCATCTGAATCAGATGCCTCACATGTGGTTGGATCATCACGCCCCGCAATCGATGTAATCGATCAATCAAAATGGAGCTTCTCTTCACCCTCTCCTTCCGATCGTTTGTGCTGCTCATCCAAATCCTTGACAATGTCCGCACCTTCAGAGTTAAACATCGAATCCCATGAGGCAAAAGCACCACAAAGCCAACTGAACCCCACTTCTTCCGCATGTGACAAGGCCAGCAAGCAAGCCTGCCACCTGATCGTTATCATCCGTATACACAAAGCCGTCTACTTCGACCTTCTTCAACGACTCACCAGGAGTGACGTGACGTGCCGAACGAACGAACGGCTTCGCCCTCCAGAAAGCCCCCGGAAGATCTGAAGAATGCACCTGTTGAGTGACTCACCGGTGCTTTGAACCAAATCCTCTTTGAGCTTCACCCACCAAAGCCCGGCTTTTTGCCCCCCCATCCGGGCGGCCATCAATGACGATCTTCTTCACCTGCCTGAGCGCGCGGAAAGAAGGGCGGAGCCAGGTCGGGGCTGGCTGAAGAGGGGGGGCCCCTGCCGGGCCCGGGTCATCTTGCCTGATCGCTTCCAGGACCAAGGAGAAACATGGTTCCTGACGAAACGTTTGGGATTCACAAGAGGATGGGCTAGGATCCAAGGGCTAGGATCCAGATGGATCAAGCTTTTTGTTTGCAATACTCCAGTCGAAACAGCAGAAACTGCCAGTACAGTGAAGTGCCAAAATAAGAACAACCTCATGCACGAACTTATCCCTCAAATACTTCCATCGCATCTTCCTGAAAGGCAACGCATCTCGTGAGTGCTTGCAGCTGGTTTTGGGATTAGCCACACAAAGCTGTCCACAAACACTTTGTAAGATGCATCTAGATACAGTTCAACTTAGGCCGATTTCATTGAATTTCCCATGGACATGTTGCCACCCCATCTCTTCAATGATGGTTCGGTTCCACTATCTACTGTTTTTACGTGTCTTTTTTTAAGGAAAACATATATACCTAGACCCCGCAAAAGACGTGTTTTATTTTTCCGGTGGGGGCAGTTTTCAGGCAATGCTCAAAAAACCAACACAACTAAGCAGATTTGGTGTCGATCTTTGTTACTTCTACGTTGATGTTTGTCACTTCTGCGTCATTTTGGTGTCATGTGTTCTATCGCGAACTTGCTGCATTCTTCTGCGCCACGTTTTCTGGCGAGACAGAATCACAACACATCGTTTCAGGGTCCAGGTATATACACACACAGTGCTTAAGCATGATGTTTTCCGACCTGGTCGCATCGACCTGACCGATAGCCCGGGGCCCCTGAGGGGTGGCCGAAGGGCTCGTTGATCGCATGGAAGCGTTGCAGGTACTTGGGTTGCAAGATGTCACCTCAAGCGCTGCGGTTTCAGAAACCGCACAGTTTGGAGCAAAGCAGCAATTGAGCAAATGGTCAAAGCATATGTGGTACATAAACTCATATAATATATATATATTATTAAAGTATGTTTCATGCTTTGTATTACATATACCCAGAACCCCAGGATGAGACCTGTTTTTTGACAGGAAGTGTGGCCATAGTGTGTGGTTTGTTGTCCAAAATAGGGGTTCATGAAGGTTCTAGTCCTTTTGTAATATTATCATGTCATGTCTAGCACTGACTTGAGTGTCTAATGATCTCTAGTGAAATACAATGGCTGAGAGTGTCTACGCCATTCAACGCATCTAAATCTATCCCAACCATGTCTAATCTCTATAAGATCCCACAACATATTGAATCCTAAAACTGTGTCAGTTTCACCAACAGCTGGGGAGAACAAAGTCATACAAAACAAGGTCATACAAAAGTCTGCTTCTCCTTCTTAGCCTCTGGCGCATTTCCGTTGTACAACCTGTTTCCGAGCTTCCACTCTGAAGTGTTGGACGTTGCTGGTTGCTTCTGAATCGAAACGAAAACAGCCCATGAGCAGATCCTCTTCAGAGATCAACCACATCCTCTACAGTTTCCCAACCCTCCAGATCCTCAGCCTCACGGGTGAAAAGGCGGCGTCACTCTAAAATTGCCCTTGGCCCAGCCACACTGCTCTTCGCTGACGTCCGCACAGGTCGCGGAAAAGAAGTTGAAGCGCGCGTTGCCGGGCCAAGTGCTGGAGACCTCGTACGGGAGCGCGGCGGCAGCCGCCGCACAGGACAGCGCAGCGCTTGTCGCAGGTTCGCCGCGTTCGCGCGTGGCGTGTGGCCGGACCAAGTGGATGACGAGGAGGCGATGAAAAACGCTTTGAGGGGCTCCGGCCCAAGGATTTTGTCCTTTTTTTTTGGAGGGCGGATGAAGCTAAGGAGGATGAAGGAGCGATGCGCGGAAGAGAACCACTCGGAAGCTGGGTGATGAAGTGGCCCAATGCGGAGTGAGGGCCAGTCGGTGGGTCGGTGCGGAGATCAGTGCGTCCTTTCGGTCACACCACGGGCACCAGGGGATTCAAGTGGAAAACGGTCCTTCTCGAACAGACTGCTTTTAATCCAAGTACAGCTGTGCAGCAGTGGCTAAGGGGTCAAAACCGGAGTGAGTTGGACAAGTCTGTGGCTAGTAGGTTGAATATCAGTGATGGTATGATAGCATCACCCTCAACAAATAATGTAATTACTAAAATGCGGATAAATGCGGAATCTTACATAAATTTACTGTAGATATATACATCTGCAAATTATGCCTCGTCTCCTTCAAAGTCATTTCTTGCACTCCTTCTTGCAGTCCTTTTCAGAGGTACCACGCGCACTTCTCCATCCGGGTGCCCCAACATAGTCATTGTGCTCCAGCGCTAAAGATCCTGTGGCTCCAAGAAGTTCCATCAGGATGGGGATGCGAGGATCATATAATATAATATATATATATATATATGGATGTTACCAAACAACTTGTTTTTGCAAAGGTCTTTGAAGGCTAGGGTATGTATACTTTAAGTATATACTTATTTAATATTTACTTATTCATTACCTACCTGGACCATCCAAGGGGTGTTCTGGCCGGAGGTCCATGAAGAAGAGGGTTGGCTAGTCCAAAACATGTCCAAACAGGGCACGCCCGAGCAAGTTCCGCTCCGGTGCCGTGCTGGGCTTCGACACCTACAGTCACCTTGCTGGGCTTCACGGGCCATGCCAGAATCCCCCAACATCTAAGAACTTCCACAACCATCCATGATCATGGATGAGAAATCATGATCCTCAAGCCTCTCAAAGGGAGGTGCCATGGCCATGGGAGGCCATGTCATCTCAAACACTTCTTGGTGAGTTCCCCTCGTCCATCCTTGACCCGGCTATGTCTCCGTCCTGCAGGCACCCACTGCTTCTCTGGGCGGGTCTCGCTGCTCAGGAAGGCAAAGCCCCCACCGCAGGCGACCACGAAGACCAAGCTTCCCACCAAGCTCTTGATCTGAGCGCCATCGGGATTCGACACGATCCGGACTGAGTCTCCGGAGCTGGGTTATAAGAACAGGGGCTTTTGGAGAAAGAGGTGATGGGCCGGGGGCCGGGCAGGAATCATTTGGGAGGCCTCGGAAAGAGCTTCGACACGTTGATATTTGGACTACAAGGGTCTGAACAAAAGGGGAAAAGCCACTATAGGGAGGTGGCTTAACTGGGGGTCCTGTGCAAGGCGAACATGCCAACCATGCGTTCAAGGGAGTTCACCCATTTGTATATAAGTACCTTGAAGTTAATATATATACAGTAACCAGACACCAATTAAAGGGTGGTGTATAGACACCCCATCTTTATGTCTTTTCCATCCAATAACCACCCGAACTGGGTGGTGCTGGATTCTTTTTCCACTGGTCTCAACTAGACAACGGACGCACGGACGCCCATGGGATCGCTCTCGGCGCTCGGACGTGGAAGGTCACCGCGTCCCCGCCGGCACCGCCCTATTCCGAGGAACAACGACCAGGGAACCGCCATCCATCACTACTAGTAAGGCACTTGTTACTACTAGCGAGGCACTCGGTTTCAGGACGGGTGGGAACGCTTCTCGAGGATCCGGTGAAAACGAAGAAACGAGCTTCTCGAGGAGTCCTGTAACTGGATCGATGTAGTGTTCGGGATTTGGTTGTCCAACGAAACGACTCGAAGCATCGTGCATAGAGAAAGACTTAGAGGCATACGTGCGCACTATGGTATATCTGGTACCTTTCAGATCCTTTCAGTTATTTCTACATATGTCTACGTGTTTTCTATCATATTCATCCATGAATTTTGTACGTTATCCATCGTTATCCTCTCGACCCAAACCCAGGTCTTCGATCACCTCGCCCACCACTCGACGGGACGAACGAACTCGGCCCGGCCCGGCCAGGCCAGGCCATCGGGCGCCCCAGCCGGATGGGTCCCGACGGCACGACCCACTCTCTCGAAGAAGTTCTCCAGGCACCGCTCGACGGCACCTCAGGAGGCAGCCGGAGGGTCGCACTCGCACCAACCGGAGGCGCCATCGGGTCGCAAGTAGACTCCACGACGTCGTTATGTAAAGGATCTGCAGACTGGGTGACATGGGTGTTCTGGTTGTGGCTTCGCTCTATGTCGCCCCCACCGAGTTAGGGAGGATGGCGCGCGGACCGCGCACGGGACCTCGCGGAGAAGCTCGCTCGGTGCCGAACGGCGGAGGTCTCGGTGCCCCCCGTGCACAGCCCCTGGATGGGACTCGAAAAGAACCCCGACATGTCAACCGTGGATGGCATGGATCGGCCCGGTGGTTCGGCCAGTCTGCCGATGTCCGGTTTCTCAAACCATGGTCTACTTGTGCCATGCGTAGCCCGCATAAAAGACGTCGAAAGAGGCTTTGTGGCACCAAAGTAGAGGCAGTTTCTTTTTGGGTTTTGGGTCACCCTATGTAGTCTAAGCGTGTTTTGTCGAACGCACACTTCAAGACTTAGGGTCAAGCTAACTCATCACTAAGAGACACTGATGATTCACGTTGTCAGATGCCAAGGCGCCAATACCCATTGTTCCCTGGTGGTGTTGCGGCTCCAAAAAACGAAAGAGAAGCCGCGTCTAAAACGTGAACGGCCTCCTTTCGTTTGAGCCAAGAAAAACCTCCCGCGAAGCGCCGCGAAGCGAGCGAACGACAGATCAGGACTGCAGACAGTCCAGGACTGCCAAACTAGCATCCATGGAACGTGCGTTGAAAGGAGACCTCCACGATCAAAAGTTGTTGGAAAAAGGTACATCAACAGGTCACCGCCAGCGATTGGTCAAAAAGACATGACATGACATGACACAAGGTTCACACCTCCGTGCGTGCGAGAAGCACGGCTCACACATGCTCGGAACCGCGGCTCGTGATCCCTGTCCTGAACCTTTTTCAGAGAGCTGTGGAGAGGTCAGGCGATGCCACCTGCGCAGGGCGGCATCGTGTTCTTGTGCTACTGAAAGTTGAAAAAAATAACACCCTGAGATGGAGAATGATGGATCTTGGGCAAATCTTAAAAAAGAACCGAAAGCCATTGAACAGTACCTTTTGAGCAAGTGAACCACAGTGAACCACTAGTTCCACAGTGATAGTTCAAACACTCAAACAGTGACGTACGAAAACTTGACCTCCTCTGTTCTGTATAGCGTTGAGTTTTGACCACCAAAGGAGGTGACACCTCAACCAAAGTGCTTAAAATCCAAATACTGGTGCAGTTCAAAGGGTGTTCAACGCACTCTGATATGTGATGGTATGAGATATTATAGTGCTGAGGAGATTGTTTGGTGAGTCTGTTTTTGGTTGAAGTACCTGTCGTGCAGCTTGTAAGTCGACTTTAAAGAAGTTCTAACCGCCCTAATCAATTACGCTCCTAATTTACGCCCAGCGGCAACCCCATGCTGGTACTGACTGACAACCCTGCCATCTCTTTCCTTCTACTGACAACCCCATGGATCTCAGCGTTGTTGATGGACGTGTTGCTGATGTTCAGCTCCAGAGCCTCTCATCCCTGGAAAACAGAGGTTTACCGAACTTTCCACCTTTTAGATGTTCATAGCAATGGCCTCCAACCTAGAAGCACTAAGAACCCAGTGCTTAAGGCAACCCTTGCTTCTTACAAATGAATATACATACAGTCACCAAGCAGTCACCAATGCTGAAGTGAAACTCCGACTCCTCAACAAGAACAAGAAACAGCGGACTTTCTACCGATCGTACCGGCGGTTTGGAAGATCTAAACCTTCCCATTCATCGCTCCGGCATCATCATCGCCGGCCCGAGGGCGCAGCCCGACGCTCAAGAGCATCGAGTTCAGCTTCGCAGGCAGCGCTGACTGGGATGCATTCCCAGCGGAAAATAGACCGACGAATTCGGTCGGCGGGACAGTGCGCGGGAAAGAGTGTCCCCGTCAAGTTTGGCCATCTGGTTTTTGTTTTTCACAAACATTGAGCAGAAACATGAGTCATCACAAGATTCGGCTCAAGGAGTCTCTTCAACGAACCAATGAACGATGGGGATTCTTTCAACTCCTCGATGCTCGGCATTTGTCGAGCTTCGACGCGCACCGTGAAAGGGGTAGCATCCAGTTCTGGATGCATAATAAGGGATGAAATGGTTGAGCAGCAAAGGAGACACAAAAAAGCTATGACGTGGTTCTTACGGTCACGAAGTGAGCTCTTGCCATAAAACAATGCTTGCTTTAAAAAAAAAAAAAAAACATAAAAGAACTATAAGCAGAAACTTCAAAAAAGTATCCGAACCATTGAAGATCGACGATGTTAAACCAAGCCGCTGTGCCAGCAATAGGGAGGACAAGCTTCTTGCTCTGAAACATGAACAGAACAAGAACACCATGAATCCCAACACTTTATCTGTCGAGACCAATCAATCCATCAGAAGAGACCTGTTGGAAGTGCACATTGCGCAGTCTGTTACACTCTGACTCACTAACATGGAAGTGGAGTTCACCCCAGTTCACCCCCTGTCGCTAGAGGAACGTCCTCTTCCAAGGGACCATGTTCACTAGCGAGTCGGAGGGTCTCTTCAACGGACCACCAAGCGACGAAGAAGGGACGCCGCTCAGCCACTCAGCGACAGACCAAAAAGTCACACCTTGACCCCGGGAAGCTTGGAAAGATCGTGTTTTTCAAGTCTACAGGGCTCCAAGTACCGTCTACAGGGCTGCACTTGGAACGGGATTGGTCGTGCAAAGGACCAACAGCGGTCGCAGTGCGAGCGGCAGACCACTGCGAAAAGAGGACGCTTCGCTGTTCAGAGGACCTCGAAGCGGCGAAGATCGCAGGTCATCTGATCCATCTTCACATGGAATTGAAACAACATCAAAGAACATATTTAAATAAGAGGCCCCCTAAGGGGTGGTCATGGACACCCCGAATCACCTCTAAGGAGCTATCATTAGACACCCCTTAGGGGGCCTAGTAGTAATCATATATCACATAAATACAGTAATATGTTGTGTGTTCCTTGCATGTTTTGATACGTTGTTGTTTTCTGTGGAGCGTTTGTCTTGAAATCATCCTATTTCATGGCTGGGTGGAGGACCATGCCACCAAGTCGATCCAAAAGTTACGCCCTGGAAGAGACCCACTGAAAACCACTGGGTTGTGAAGGAAAATAGTCTTACAGTCTGGTCCATTTTCAGGTTCCAGGTTAATCTTCCAGGGTGTACTTGGTGGCCGAAGAGTCCTCCACACCCGTGGTTTTCAGGTTTCGGTACCTCAGGGCGTAGATCCACATGAAGAAGCGGCGACGGCTTCAGGATCCAATCTGAACATAGATCCGAAATGATCTACTAGGCCCCCTGGTTCGGGGTGTCTAATAATAGCTCCTTAGAGGTGATTCGGGGTGTCCATTCACCACCCCAGGTATGGGGGCCCTGGTATAGGACTTCTTGCACGGAACCAGTGAGTTTCCCGGGATCCCTGCACGGGTGACCGGTCCAAAAGCGCTGTCACGTCGTGCATCTGCTACACGGTTCCCGTGCTGAGCGAGAGCTACACCATGGGCTCTGAGCTGCAAAATCAGAAGCAATGAGCATCGACATATGCACATGGGATACCTCTCAGCATATGAATCATAGATCAAGGCTGACACTGCGGGGACCTGGATGGTTATGTTATATTAAATTCTATATATAATTGTCACAGAGTCATGTGATGAGTTACTAGCCACAAGTGAAGCTTCAAAAGCATACTGTATATTATATAATGAACTGTAAGTCAGCAAGTCACGCAGTTCAGTCAATAATCAAGGAGCACGGTTTCTCTCCACCCGCACCTCTCCCAGATTCGACTCCAAGGCCTAATATATGTCCAGCTCAGTCCACGATCCAGCTACCTTTGGCTCAGCTGCCAACGAGACACACCAGCTCACTTCTATCCGAAGCTCGCGGGTTTTTTTCCCACGCGCCCAGCTTCGTCGTAGAAATCACCGTCACAGCCGGAAGCTTCAATCCGAAGCCCACAAGGGGGACGTGATTCGACGGAGTCGACGCGTGCGCTCCAGGCAGGGAAAACAAGGAGTGTCGGCCATCGTGTGCTGGAACTCCTTTGGTTTTTGTTGGGTGATGGATGAAGTGATGGAGTGATGGTCCAGTTCCACTATAGAATCATCTAGACTCTACTGTATACTCCATTCCCCAGCTGCTGCTCTAACCCAGCTCTTGTGCTCAAGGAGTTTACCAGTTGTTTCTTTTAAGTCCTTCGCCATGCTCCACACCGATGGCCTGCGGATAAAACTTTCTTCAGCCTCTGGGCTCGGCTCGGGAAGACCACACCCAGCGCTTCCAGCCTCTAGGCTGCTTCCTCAGCAGCAATGCGAGAGGCCTCGCCATCCATCGAACGTCGGAGCGCCGTGCGCGTTCCGCGGCCACGCGGAACACGAAGAAGGAAGCAGGTGGTGAAGGAGGTACGAAGGAGGGGCGCATTCGAGCCGCCACAAGTGTCTCACATGCAGGTCCTAAAGTTTGGGTCCACAAGTTGAACACCCGTTGTCCCTGTGAGCTGTCGCGGCGTCTGTCCCAGGGTGGCAGGATGCTACAGCTAGCGCGTGTTGAATTGGCTGTGGGTCATGGCACCGCGAGCCTTCCGAAAATGAACAGAATCCTCAGGACTGAGGTCAATCTACCAGGCCCTAGGGATCCAAGTACACGGTGATTGGAGACTATTTACGTAGGCGCCAGGAGGGCCCAGTCGTACCTTCTCTAAAACCATCTTCCCCACGGTTGCGAGATTCGCTCAGGAACCAGCAAAACCAGGCTTTCCAAACCGTGGAAGAGCTGGGAAGAGTTGGAACGATCTTTCCAGCACCCCTGCAGAGGAGCCTCCAAACCAACACCGAACCGACGCAGGGTCCCCCGGTGCCTTGTCACTAGTAGCAGCATCAGCGTTGTAGGTCCTTACAGCAAAGGAAGTTGTTGGTCACCCTGGCTTGGAGGTATAAATGGCACACTCGGATTTGCTTAAGGAACCCGGACGGAAATAAACATATTCCCCAGAAGGGGATCTACCTAGGGAAAACAAAAAAGCACCTGAAAAAGCAAAACCAGGCACATGATAGCTGTTGAGAGTCCAATGAAGCCACAAAGTTGGTGGTCTCTGTGATTGCGACTCACCCATGTTGTAAATAAATTCTGTTGAGTCGCTATATATTGCACCAGGTGGTTGCATGTGCTGTTTTGGGTTCGAGGGCTTGCCGTTCATTCGTTTTTCGTCCCTGCCAAAAGGGACGACTGGCCAGGCTGAGTCATACAGGAATTCTCTCCACCAGGCTTAAGAGGTGGGCGGCACAGCCTGAAGTCTCGGTTTTCCCAAAGGAATGACGAGAAGACCTGAAGGATGGGAGAACTCAGACGAGGCGTGCGGCGAGTTCTGTGGAACCTGACAGGAGCAAAATAAGCAAAGATAAGAGGTATATAATGTAATTAATTACTATAATTATTAATTATTAAACTATATTATGTTACTATGTAAAATCATCGATATGGCGGAACGTTCATCATCTTGCAGTCCTACAAAGGAATCACTGCATGTACACTTGGATCTTCTATCTTCCCAATCGCCCAGAAATCCCTGATCCTTTACACACTACACACACCCTGCACCGTATTCTGGTCTTTCTGCCTTTTTTGTCTTCTCCCATCCACAACTTACAACCCATATGGCCATGTAGCTGCTACATACGGAGACCTCTTTCATAGGCGTTCCGACCCCCCAGGCCTCGTCGCGAGACGGGCAGGGCAGCCCTCCTTTTGTGGGCATCCCCCCGTTTTCACCGGCATCTCTCCCGGATGGACACGACCCACCCATCTATAGTATCTATAGGCTTTATAGGGTTTAGGGTTTTGCTTAGGGCGTTCCTCGCCGCGAACGCTGGTTTCGCGAAGGGCCCGGACGTCCGCGTCGCTCCGTTCGTCCCAGGAGCTCTGAGGTCGCCTTGGAGCCACCGACCTGCGACCGGCCCAAACACGCACGGAAGTTTGATGGGCTTTGGGCCAAACATGGGCCACGAAGAAGGAAGGCTAGGGCAAAGGTTGAGGGTCTATGACCCTTTTTCGGAGGACAAGCAACCTGTCTGAGACCGTCATGAGTCATGACCCTACAAAAACACAGTTTTTCGTAGGACAGATCCCCCCCTTTTGTGAGCCTTTCATTCCGTGAGTGGGCAAACCAAAATGACCCCAAACATCCCTAAACGATGTTGCAAAGACCTGGCATCTTTGTTGAGCATTGGTTGTTGCAATGCTTCTTCAAAGCCTGGCATCACATGAAATCGGTCAAGTTCGTCACACGAAGGGCTTCGACATCAGCGGCCGCTTTCTGGGACAGACTTTTGGAACTTTGCAGTTAAGGCTATCCAAGAGGTCTACCTCAACGTGATGATCAAACATGATCCTTGATAGAAAATTCTGCTGGAAGTCACTCGACTTATATGTTTGACCCCACCGATTCCACTTGTTATTATGTGATGTTGCTTACTTCCAGGACCCTCCAAGGCGTGTCCAATGAACTACCCCACACTACCGAAAAAGGCTTCCAGACAGGGCACCCCACGGTGTCGGGTCCTGGTTGATTTGATCTTTACACTTCCACACCTTTTCCTCTGTTCTCCAACCCCAGTCTTCCACCGTCTTCCACCGTCTTCCGCGCCAGTGAGAGGATGGTGGGCAGCAACCACAAGCCGTGCGCACCCGCGATGACCACGACCAGGAAGAGCACCTGCCACGAAGATCGAGTCCCCTGCGAATCCGAAGGCTTCAGCATGGTGAAGCCGAAGAACTGTCATGGCCGTGGGGCGAGATGGCATGTGGGTCACACCATTATACCGACCGGTTCAAGGCAGTCCTGGACTGGGTCGGGCTCACATGGTGGTCCAGGTGGGAAACCGATCTCACCCAGATGCAGAACAGCCCGGGGGTTTGGCGTTCGACTCGAAGCACGCCCTGCGGATGCGCGCCCTGGCGGGGCGCGTTGCGCTGCGTGCAACACGACGCTGCGGGTGGAAGATGGCAGAGTCCGACTTCGGAATGCTTGGAAGAAAGAAAGTGAGCAATCTTTCAATGCCCTCAAGATTCATTGATTCATGAATTCATGTGGAAGCCTCAAGGACCTCCATAGACGGAAGTTGTTTCTTTTCTTCCCTTGACAGACTCTGTGATTGCAGATATTTGCCCTTGTTTGAAAAGACCCGTGGTCGAGGTATATTGCATATTAATATGGCATAAGACATCATAAGACTCATAGACCTTTTCAGCACACCGAGCAAATCGCCCTGCAGAACAAAATACTGGGGTTTGGATGTGTTTGACATCCAATGGCATTGAAGGATGAATTCATGAAAATGCATCAAGATACAAGTCGAGAACACCCCACGGCAACTCCCCCGCATTTAGTGCTCCGTTCCCATCTTCGCTCTGCTGGCACTGCTCGTTCTGCTCGTCGCGCCTTGAAGAAGATGCGGAAGACGTAGCTCTCCGAGAAGCCGACCACCACCACCTCGGAGGTGGCGGCGACTGGCGCGAAACCGCGCGAGGCCGTCGGCTGACGGTCGGAAGCTGATTCTGTTTCCGCGGCCACCGTGGTAGAAGGCCGGTCGATCGATCCTTCCGCACGGTCGATCGGTGGGAGTCCGCACTTCGTTTGACGATCCGGGAGTCTGGATCGAAGAAATCAACTGTCTGTTGGTCCAAAAGTCCAAGAGTTTAGTGTCCCTCCAAACCAAAGGATTGCCACTCTGTTGCTCCAGGTGTGGAACTCGCACTCGGCTCACTCCCCTCTCCCGGGACCCGTCGAACCACCCCTCTGGACGACCCAGTGGCGGCCAGCAAGGTGGAGAGCACTGCGTTGAAGGTGCAAACGCCGATGCGGTCCACCGCATTGATCGCGCGCTCCCGGGGCGTCCCCGTGGACTCCTGGCCCGACTCCACGCCCCAAACTGTTGGATTCGCAGGCTCCGGCACGCCAGCGCCGGGAGCGGCAGGCGGGTGGAAGTCGATCATGCTGAAGGGGGAGAAGGGAGGAATAGGCGAACAATCATGAGAACTGTAATTTAGGGAATTACAAGTCCGGATGGGAGTTGATAGCTCGTTTGAATGATCCAGATTCACCAATTCAGACCTCTCAACACTCCATTTGGAAAGCTCTAAACTCTAGAGCTGTTGGAGCTGGTACATGAAACGATTGGTACCTAGAAATCCCACAATTCCAACGTCCGACCGGCTTCCCTTTGGCGGAGAGACAGCCGGATCCCTCCAACCACCTGTTCCCTGAGTTCATGTACAGTAAAGGTCTGAAAGATGGTCGTCTGAAAGGTGGGAGGTGATTGAAACTCTATGATGTCACAGGAAACCGATGTCTGGAAGGGGATTGACACTTACTTCTTTTCCAAACCTCTCCTTCCCTCGCAGGACTGGCATGTCCAGATCCCTATGCCAACATTGAATCTACAGTCCTTCTTACAACAAAGCAATATTGTATACAAGCAGAACATGGTCATTAAGGGAAGATGATCCATTTCCCATCGGTTTCCCAGCCCTTTGGTGCCATATATTTTCCCCTCTGCCCAAATAGGGTGGCTTTGACTCACATTCAAAGACGTTCGCCACCCGTCCTTGAACATGTGAGCAATGTGCGCAGCGTAGTCCACTGCCAGGCCAACGCAAATCAGCACGTAGATCCTCGTCTGAAAGAGCAACTGCGACGCGAGGCCAGCGGTCCGTGGTCCGAGTTTTGCACGTCCCGAGCTGTGCTCTGCTCTGCTCTGCCAAAACCGACACCCACCGGGATGTCAGTCAATTTCGTCCCCCGACCCCCAAATGTCTCCCCAATCCAAGGGAGAAGCCATTCTTCTTGTGGGTTAACTTAGGATATGGGTGTCCTGCAGAATCAGGAGACCCATGGGGCACGTGGAGGGGCGGCCTTTTTTTCCGGGGTGACCACTGGTCCAGCTACCAAGTCTGCTTACAGTAGTGGCTGCAATATGTCGCATGCAAGGCATTTCGTTGTTGTATGTTGTTGTACATCTACCTGGAACATCCTGTCTGGGTGTCCTGGCGTTCGACTACCCTACCGTAAACAGGTCTCCAGACAGGGCACCCAGACAGGGAGTGCCATGCAGGTCCGCTCCTGTCCTGTCCCTGTCCCTGTCCCGCTGCCAACCCGGGCGCGGAGGGAGCACCGTCGTGCACGGTTACGACGACGAATTGGACCATGTTCTGTGGGAAAATTCCTATTAATATCCTATGAAAGCGTATGAAAATCCGATGAAAGCTTGGAAGCCTAGGGAATCCTATCCCCTTTGCTCATCTACTGAGTCTACTGAATCTCAAGATATTGGAAACCATCTTCTCATGCTGAATCCCATCTAAAAATTTATAAAGCCTGTTCAGCTGTCATCACCTGTCTAGAGTCTACTAGAGAATACCGCTGGAGGTCCTTCCGCCTCACCCCATCCGGTTCCCATCCGGTGCCCAGTGCGCCAGGACGCGTGGAAACGCCACTGATGGTGACATCCCAGAAGTACATATAGCCCAAAGTGTCCACAATGGACAAGCACACGCACAGCACCACCTCCAGCGCCACGCGCTTTTCCCGCTCTGCAGCACGAGCACGTGCGAGGTGGATATCCCAGACACGACGTGTCTGGGACTGCCATAGGACTGCCGATCAGTTGGGGTGGTTTTGCGGGGTCAATGTAACGTAGGCATATATTGCACTTCCATGGAGTGTCTGGATATTGGATGGTCAATAGCAAGCGGTTTGGAAGCTTTCACGCTTTGTGGAGTTTCTGGGACCCGCGAATTGCTCAGTCAGTCACAAGGAGATGGCACCCATCTGTACAAAGATGTCTTGGAAGTGGGAACCAGCAACCTCTCCTCTACCAAACCGCCAAGCACAGAGTTGGTGCCCGTTGGTGAAGGAGTGTGTCTTGCTGTTAAAAACGTCTCCCAAGCTGGATTCTTAGCACATCAGCACACGTCCCATCCGCCGAGGGGCCCAAATGGCGATGCGAGGGTTGGGCACCAGCGCGAAGATCACCACCTCAGACCCACGGCCAGAGAGCGATGGATTCGGGGAAGCTGGTTCGGGGGGCGTTTTGAGTGGGTGTCCTCCTACATCTTTGAGACCTTTTTCGTGTGGTTTTGTCCAATTGGTTGGACATCATGTGAGACAAGATCATGTGAAGACGCACTCGCCCACATATCTTAGGGCGGACGTTGGTCAACCGTAGATCTTTGGGCGGACGGAGAGTTTTTTTGAGACAGCAGTTGCGGGAGTGAATTCCTGGCAGACAGGTTCTACCAATCATCTCCTTTGGAGAATCAACAAAAAGGGTCGATGCTAGATGCCTCTATGGACCTTCCTGGACCCCTTCATGGACCTTCCAACAGGTACCAGGTGGTCTCTAGAACTTTTAGAACCCTAACAATCCCATGAAGAAATCCCTAGCCGTCCCCACCAGGGTCAAGGGAAGACTCGCCTCACAAGTTGGAGGAATCCACACTCCCTAAAACCTAATCAGGAGGTGGAAGTTCAGAACAGGGCCTGGCATGGAAGGATGACCCAAATGTTTCCGAAGACCAAACAGGATGGCACTTCCAAAAAGAGAAGGGAAAAGGACGATGGTCTTTCCATTCTTCCAAACAGGTGGTGCTACTTCCAAAGGTTCCATGTTTTTCCCCCAAAACTCCTGACTTCTCATCATTTCTCCCCCGGTGCACCCCGCGCCCCAAACCGCCCCGCCCCAACCCCGCCAGTCCCCGGCCAACCCCTAATCCCCTCGTCCCCAGCACGTGCCGGGACCGTCCCAGGCACCAAGATCACCGCACCGCAAATCGCCAAGTTCTTGATGAGCTCCACATCGATGATGCCCACCTGGGAGTGGATCCAATGGCCCATCGCTGGTTGGAGTGCGTAGGTTTTCCTCCGACATGGCCCATGTTCTGCTCCTGATGGTCCGTCTTCAGGACCCCGCACGTGGACAAAAAGAACGTGCTGAATAAAGGTCAGCAGCTCAGAAATAGAGAATCCGCCCACACCGCTTGTCGGTGCAGGGCGCGCTATTGGGGCTCTTGCCGTCGAGCTTTTAACAAAAACATCCTATGCATATAGCTCAGCTAGCAAAGGGGGGGGGGCGCCTTTTTTTCGCGCGCCCGCGCGCGCGGCTATGGTTGGGCCTGGGGAGAGCGTTTTGGAGGTACATTTTTGGATGATCTTTCGTTACGTCGTGCTTGCAGGGCCACTGGGGAGAGCGTTTTGGAGGAGTTTTTGTGTTTTGGTCTTGCTCGGCTGCAGGGCCACTGAGGACAGCGTTTTGGAGGTGTATTTTTGGCAATGCCGAAGTTGATCGAAGTTGTATCACCATTATGGGCCCCAAGGTAGACGAAGTTGGCCCCAAGATGGCAACCTGGCGCCCTTTTTTTCGCGCGTGCGTGGCTATGATTGAGCTGCAGAGCCACTGGGGAGAGCGTTTTGGAGGTACCTTTTTGGATGATCTTTCGTTACGTCGTGCTTGCCGGGCCACTGGGGAGAGCGTCTTGGAGGAGTTTTTGTGTTTGTGGTGGTTGCTGCGTTGATTCTTGCTCGGCTGCAGGGCCACTGGGGACAGCGTTTTGGGGGTGTATTTTTGGATGGCTTTTGGCAAGGCCGAAGTTGTATCACAATCATTATGGGCCCCAAGGTAGACGAAGTTGAACCTGGCGCCTAGATGGCTGCACTTGTCCCCAACCTGGCGCCTAGATGGCTACTTCCATTTCACTAACTTCGGCTGTTCGTGCGCGGTGTGGGCAGCTGTCGACGCGAAGCGTCTTGAATTCGGCCTAAAACACATCTAAAACCATGCTTCAGTGACTGAAGTGATGTTTTAAGTTTTATTTATTGTACAACGGATCGTGGCAGCACAAATACGGCGGGGGACACTGTGACCCACCGAAAAGGACAAGGAAACCTGCAACCTCCCACAAACAACTGGAGTTGACCTCCCCCACTTGCGTCAACGTGCGTCTGTCTGAGCGCTTTAACTGTTGAACTGGAGTCTGGGTGTTTGGGAGAGTTGGGAAAATATCCACTGTACACAACACCAGTCATTCAAAATCCATCTAAAATCCTGATCAAACATGCCCCTTCCAACCTCTACAAACCTCATCAAACACTCCAAACGGGGTTGGTCTTCGGAACATGGAAGACGGGGTTGGTCGGTCCCTGGGATTTCTATCCGCAGCACTTCCCCGCGACGGTCGGTGGTGATGAACAAAGGGACTTCGTCACAAACTTTCTCAGGGACAAATGGGCATCCTGTGGCGATCAGCAACTGTCCCCAGCAAGGAGGGAATGCATGCATTCTGGCATTGTTCAATGATCGTGTTTTGAACGATATCCGCCGATCCTTTCGTAACCCTCTGGAGGATCTCTGCAGTACTGTGCCAGTATGTTTAGTCCTCATCACCTCTCTGTGCGCCGGGGAAGCGGCCTCTTCCCAGTAGAGGAAGTCAAAGCTGTAGGGAAAAGCGCCAGTGTGACGCGCGGCAATCTGCGAGAGAGTCAAATTCGGCGCCAATGACCGGACTCTATTTTAGTAGATCAATCCATATAGATCTTGTAGGGGGCACCAACATCCTCAAAGGTCTTCTTTCCCTCAGTTTTAGTACAGATATTATTTCAAACTTCACACACCCTAGCCACAGCGGGATCATCAGCCCAGCAACTTTAATTGAATGCTGTTGAATGTTTGCTAGAACTGATTGCCATGGGTGTTCAACTATTCTTGGACGTTTGCCGCAAAAGGCACTCCAGCTTTCTAGCATGAAACAAACGCAATATGAACCATCCCATACTAGAAGCATCTAGAAGCCTTCCGAATATGTTCTTTTATACCCTCCCTCCAGTCACGGAAGCGAAACATGTTCCGTCCTTCCATCCAAGGATCCTTATTAGAGGCTACAGTGTCTGTCGCATGGAAGTGGAACATGGCTGTGGAAAAAAAAAAGAATCCTTCCTTTTGACCTATATAAAGTGACCTACTAAGTGATCTAAGTGGTTCTTCACTTCCATGTTTTAGGTGCCTAAAACCCTCGGCCAAGGGCACAATTCCTCATGGCAGCATGGCAACGGGACCGCCTCGTTCCTCATGCTGGTCATGGTGTCATAGCGGTCGGTGCCTCGGCCGAACGAAGAAGGAGGCCGCATCGTCCCGTCCCTGGGACGAAGTGAATTAATGAACTGTCACATCAGAGCTGTCTGCTCGGTTCAATGAGCCCTTTATGTTTCTCTCCCATCATGCACATTCTGCCCGAACCTGGAACGCATGCGCACCAACTCTAAGGTCACCAAATTCCAAACCAAACTACGTCGTTTTCTCGGTCGGGACCCTCCGAAGTGGTCGGTACGAGTCCTTCTGCAACCCTGAGAGGATGTAGATTTAGATCGCCATAGAATGAGTCCAATAACGTGTCCAGGAGAGAATACGCAAGGGATACACCTTTCTGATGCTCCAGGTTTTTCACGGAAAAAACAAACTACACCGATGAGGACTTCGGACTTTCCATGAACCGTTCTTCTCCACATGAGCTGGGGAGTCCATCAGCGACAAAGCCGAGGTGCGTGGTGATTCCCCATCATGCTATGACAACGTGATTCACCAAATATCTGATGCTTTAGGGACTGTTTTTTAGCATTGACACGATCCAGGTTCAACTCCAAGAAGAACCACATGTCGCTAAGAATCGGCGGTGTTCCCCCAAATCTAACCTGTCTCATGCCAAATCTAGCTAGGATCTAGCGATTGAGCCTAGAGTTCCTTGGCACTTTTTCGAGCGCCCAGGAACCCCTGTCAGTGGCTGCCAAGGAAAGCTCCGCATTGAAGCGGCTCGCCATGATCCCATCCGTCCTGGGCTCTGTGGACAAGGTCCACAGCGGACGATGACGTGGGTATATCCCAGACACCCCAGACACCTAGTCGGCCCAGTGGATGAGGCTTCCATTGATCTCTATATTTTCGTGATTTTTACCGTGCAAACTGGGACACCCTGTTTACCGTGCAACATGCTTTTTTCATGATATCAGCCTCAGGAATCGGGTCCAAACCGGTCAGTGCCCGCCGCACTCAGTGCCCGGCACAGTGCAAGCAGCGGGGACGTTGTCCATGCTGCTCTCCACTTCGCAGTCCTGTTCCGACCGAGCACACGTGGCGCGACCATCGGCCGACGCCCTGGTTCCGAGACTCACATGGATCCTGAAAACCACGCCCGGTTTGTAAAGGAAAACAACCAGTCGTCCAGTCCGGTCCATGCCATAAGCTTCCGTGTACGGTTTTTTTGCTGGGTATACTTCTGGAGGTCCTGAGGGTCGGGATTGGGGGTCCACCTTCCCTTTTAGCCTCTCAGGTCTCTTGAAACACCGGACCTGTGTTCCATGAGATTACCTGTCCATGATGCGAGAAAGTACCACCAACAACATGATAGAAGAATCGAAGCCACCAAATACCTTTCGATCACTCCACCCACCGGAATCAGGAATTCCTGAGTGATTTCAATCTGTGTCATACGGAGTCCAAGTCCTCAGATGAGTCGAAAAGAAACCTGAGGGCCAGGCCATCGTCAGTAGGTTGGAGGCCATGCCTATTAAGGTTGCATTGCCATCTGTAAGAGGAGTAGAGTACCAAATGATCATAGAAGATCACTGCATTTTGTCTGTAAGATCCTGTAACATGTCGCACGCTTGGATGCTTGTGGACTACCAGAAGTAAACCCTGATGGGTGAGGTTGCCTGGATAGAGCCTCATCCCAGCCGCTCAGCCCGAACCGCTGAAGACACAGACTTGCTTTCTCGCCAAGCCAAGCTGTGGCCGGAAGACAAAAAAGGAGCTCTCATGAAACCTTGAAGGAGCTCTCATTAAACCTTGAAAGGAGCTCTCATGAAACCTTGAACTCCACATACTGCTCACAAAATCACCTTTGGTTCTTGACAAAGCACTGTCTCAAAATCACCAAAACGTATTGACAACACCTGCCCTCCCCCAACGAAAAAAGAGGCCCTCAGAGAGATGCACTCCCCGCCTTGTCATTCCACCGCAGGGAATTCCGATAGCGCGAACCCACAGTGGTGCGGTACCTACGAAAGAAATGGCACACTCAAAGCGAGTCGAGCCTTTGGCTCAATGAACGGATTCATATATGGCTTCATCTATCTTTCCTGTAAGCGAGTCCATGCGAGTCCCCACCTTAATCACCTTCTCGCAAGAACAAACCTTCATCAAGCCAAAGTCATTTCATAAACCTCACATAAGCAAAAGTCAAACAAACCGTCATCACCTTCACCATCCTACCTCAGCAAAACCCCAATTTCCACCAATTCCTCAGCGAACATTGCCGAACATCTCTTGTCCTTTTCACTTGGTCTTTGTCAAAAACCGGGTCCGCACCACAAGTGCAAGGCCGTGTAGAATTGGTTCTTGTTCGTGAAGACCGCATTGGCCGCCGTGCGCGAGGGGGTGAAGCTATCGCTGGCAGTTGCGGCCTGACTCCATCACTGCATCCATGGAACTGGAAGAGTTCCATACATTTACCATCATTTACCCCATCTACCAGCACCCGACTCAGAAAAGGTCTCCGAAATGGAGGGGTTATATTATATATAAAATATACATCTTAAACAAGAAATCCTCAATTATACAATTCAAGTCTGCCGGAAAATCCAGGTCAAAATTCATGTATATATTGCTAAGATTATTGCTATATAATAACAATCAATTAGCAGGAGCCTGCCTCTCACTCCATGAACAGCCAACTCCCAAGCAACATCTCACTCCCAAGCCAACTCTGGGGCTGCTGGGCGATGACCGCGCCAGCGAGAAACCGAGCCACGGCCGAGCCCAAACAGCCACCGTCCACACAAGTGGCTGTGTTGTCGAACGTCGGAAAGCCTTTACATCAAGGATATTTTTGTTAGAAAGAGGTGCTAAGTGGCAAACAAAGCGTACCTTGTATTGCAGAGGTCTCTGCGGCTTTGAGTTCAGCCCATGCTTTGAGTTCAGCTGATCATAGTTTTCCGACCTCCACCCACGATCTGCCCTGCCTGGTTGGGCTCAGTCGCCCATTCCATGAACTCCTGATACCAGCTGTCCACAGTCACATCCTGATGTGCGGCAAAAAACTGGCGCAGGCCGCAAGAACTTTGACGATCTTATCATTTTGGAACACATGATGAAGATTCCACTCCAGGTTGGGAACATCAAAGACATTCCCCACGCACGATGCCCCCCATGTTCCATGGCTCCCAGTATGCCAGGATATGCCAGGAGTCAGGGTTGATGAGGCTGCTGCTGTTCAGATATCCATAGACGTCATGGAGGTTGCTCTGCATCTCAAAGGCATCCGGCGAGGCTGGGAAGTTCACCGTGATCGGTGTGCCTCGACCGAGGTGGTCGGGAAGGTGGTCAAACACCCTGGGGCTCAGATGCTCAGATTCATCATGGAACTCACCCCTGAACCCTGAGGGTGATCGGATCAATCATACCAACCATGATGAACATATTACATGTTCGGTTTACTTAATATAGTAGTTTGATATAGCAATCCATTTCATTTTGAACTTCTGCAAATAAATAAACATCCTCTGTCCCTTTAAGATCCTTTAAAATCACCCAACGAACCCTCGGGTCATGGCCATTTCCCCACCACCATCGGACATCGATCATCGGACATCACCCGCCACCACCGTCCAAGAGAAGAAACGCGGCCGGAGAAGTAATGTGGAACACATTGGATCCCCAAAACATAATACGCCACAACCCAATCCCAAATCAAACACATCCTTACTAGTAGTAACAAGTGCCACGCTAGTAGTAACAGGTGCCTTACTAGTAGTAACAAACTAGAATTAAATCAAATCAAACACATGAAAAACCTCCATCCACCAACCCCAAAAAAGAATCCGTCTCATGGCACGTCTGTCCGATCGACTCGTTCCCCCAACCAACCGCGGCCCCGATCGACTCGCCTGTGGCGAAGTTGTCTCGGTTGATCACGAAGAACGTGTTCCTCGGGTTCCGGCGGCTTCCGGCGTGGGCAGATCTGCACAAAGCAACAGTGTGAAAGGATCCATCCGAAGGATCGTGCGGCCTAAAATTCGTGAGGCAAACCAAGTGCATCGGCATCGATGATGGTACAGGGTTGTCTTTGAGAAATTCTCTTGATTCATGCCTGCTCCATCTACGGAGTGCGCAAAGTCTACAACATGACCCGCGAACACAGTACCTTCGGCCAGGTGGTGCGACCCATGCAGGAGTCGGACATGTCTCTCTTAGACCAATGCTGCATGTCGGGTCAGCGCCAGCGCCGCCGAGGCGCACGTAGGAGGAGTCTGGGATGAACCACTCCAACTTGAAGTCCTCGAACGTCCAGGTCTCCGACGATCCTCGTCCCCTCTCCGTCCCACACGGCGGGGCCCAGGGGCCCGTCGACGGTCGAACGGCGCCTTGTAGATCTTGGTGGTACCAAAGATGCCGACCCCGGTGATGATGGCGAAGATGATCAAGGTCAAGACCTAGGAACAAGCGCACCGAGACGGAGGACGTTCTTGGTTTCGTAGAAAACAGGAAGAAAGGATAAGAAAGCATGAAAATGCATGAAATGAATAATGATGTCTATAGTACACCTCGTACGCTGCTCTCTAGCAAGACTCTTTGTGCATGGAGATCCACGAGAATGGTCCAATCTCGGATTCTTTTTTGCCCGGGTGGTGATGGTCGTCAAGCCAAGAATGTAGAAAGATTGAATTCGCAGCCCTGGGCCACTCACCTGTCCCACTGGCTTGGTGGTGTGCTCCGTGAACTTCCTCAGGCCTTGCACCGCCCCGATGACGGCGCCCCAAAGAAAACCAGGTGGACTCGGCTCTGAACCATGGACTCGGTGTATATTATGTTATGTATATCACTGTATATCGTATTAGAATGTTTTAGATATCTTTCTATAGCGGTTTCAGTTCGATGGCACAACCCCCCAAGTTTAGGTGGTCTGGTTCAGGAATGGGTTCCCCCCTCTAAATGACATCTTGGGGGTTGTGCCATCTACTCTGACACCACTCTATATCTTTTTGTGTGTGGTGTTGGGCCATTTGCTTTGATGCAATCATCGATGTTCCAACAGTGAGGATCAAGGAGAAAAACTGGTGCCTTTTCCAGCCAATAGGCTTTTCCGTCCATGCGTCCTCTGAAACAGTCCTCAGGCACATCGATCTCCACGAGCAAACCCCAACAAAACCAACAAACGTGTCGAGATCTTCGCTCTTCCCCGTCCCGACCCTCTCAGTTCCAACGTTCCGCGCCGGACAACCGGCGCCTGGGTTTTTCTCTCAAAGACTCCGTGACCAGAAAGGGGCGACCCTCGTCTGGATCTGTAGACTTGGGGGGCCAAGTATGCCTTTTTGGGGCCAAACTTCAGAACCAAGGACCATGGATGACCTGATGATACCTGATGCATGGAACCATGCCGCAACATGTCATATAGATGTCACTAGCCCCATGGGGAGGAAAACAACGAGCCCCCCCACACTCACTTGCGAACTGTCCATGTCCGCCCCTCATGACCCTTCCACTTATGAGGGGTGTCAGAGGGTAAACAAGCCCCCCCAAAAAAAGCTCGGAGAACGACCGGTGTCGGTTTTCCACGGCCTTTCTTCAGGACGCCACCCTTGAAGGCCTCAGGACTTTTCAAGCAATCTGATTTGTCTGACAGTCAGACAACGTCTGCGAATCGATCTGCATCTGTATCATCTGTTTTTTGCTAAAAAGGGTCTTGCACCTCAAATCAAGTGGCTCGAGATACAAGACAAAAGGATCCCAAATCTGGAAACTTGAAGTTCACTGCAGCCAGCACTTCCTTTTCATTCAGAACGTGCATGTCCTTACTATTTGTGTCCTTCTCTCAATGCCTCTCTTGCACCTGAAATCACCTGGCATGGCAAACGGATACAATATCGGTCCCAGATCTTGAACACTTGAGGTTTCTTGAAGGCATCAAAAACCACAAGCTACACCAATGACTATATTATGACTATATATGACTATATAATTGACTCCTCAACTCTAGAAACCTCTGCTAAATCCGCCTTTGCTTCACCAAGCTCCTTTCCACTGCTCGTCGCCGTCAAAAACGTCGAGCTGAGCGGTTCTGGGCGACCCGGACGGACTTGGGCAAGCAACAGCAGCAGCAGCCCTGGGGATCTTCCAATTCCTTAAAGCCACGGCCGTTGGCACTCCGGACGCCCGCGGCGTGGGAGGGGGGAATTCCAAGCCGGCCCACGGAAGAAGGCAAACATGAAAGAGAGGATAGTAGCTCGGATAGCAAATGACATGATGATGACATGATGCCAGCAGTTCCATGCAGTTGGGTACTTCATAGAGATAGAGAGGGGTGCACCTGTCACATTCACTCACTGGATGGGTGTCAAAACCAGCCCTTTGGAACTCCTGGTTGGAGTCCCCCCCCCAAAAAAAGGCAGCGATGGGGATTCTTACGGGCCTCCTGGCGCCATCCAACCAATCCCTTTCAAAAGGGTGGCCACTTGGCCATCTATGATGGGTTGGATTGCCGAGTCGTCGAGTCGTGCCGGCTTGGAAGCGTGGTCCCAGTGATCTCATGGTCCTCATGGAATGACCCTCAGGTCCGTGTTGCCCACAGTCCATCTATGTCCATCTCGTTCACAGTCAACAGATGTCAAGGGATGTCAACAGATGTCAACATCTGACTTCAAGTCCTTGCTGCCCAATCGACTCGCTCCTTGACCTTGAAGCAGCAGCAGCAGTCCACGCGGTTGGAGGCGGTACCTGCCGCTCAAGCAGCCAGAAAACGCTGGCTTGGCCGGTTGGTCATGGCACCTCTCCGAGGACCTCTCCCAACAAACCCCGGAAGGTTGACCTTTGCAGGTCATCTATCAGGATCATCCAGTCTGCGTGTCCTGGCGTTCGACTACCCTACCCGTAAACAGGTCTCACAGGGCACCCAGACAGGAAGTGCTAGGTATCAGATCATCAGCAGGAATTTCAAGCTACCAGTCCTTGCTGACGCTGCTTGCTAACCCTGCCGACCGCTGCTGTCCGGCCCAAGAACCACCCTGCTCGGAGACACGCCGCGGAAGTGGCTGGACTGGTTCGGGGCACGTCGGGCGTTCAAGGCCAGGCAGGGCAAGAAGACGGTCAGCTGGAAGGTGTAGCAAAGGACAATCGAGACACCTGGGGGCCATAGGTCGGCCCTCGGTGGTGAACCTGCAAAGAACAATTGGTTTGATAGCTCAATGTCAAGCAACCCCCGGAACCAGGAGGTCTGCCACAGTTCTGCCAATGGAATGGAGGGCAAGTAGTAACTGGATTAACTGGATGGATTTGGTGATCCTTTGCCCTGTCATCCATGTCATCCGTTCTAATTCCCTCGATTTCCCTCGCGTTGAAGTCGACCTGCTGCAGATCGGACCGATCGACTCTACCGTGGACGCGTCGTCGACGACGCGTGGGACGCGGCCACAGCCTGCGTAGGTGCAGAACCAGCTGAGTGCTGGGAGCACCGTGGTGGCGCCCACGAGGAAGGCCAAGGCGTCTGTGGCAGAGGTGATCAGCACCTCGGTGGTGGGTGGAGGGGGAGGTGGAGGTGGAGGTGGTGGACGTGGAGGTGGAGGTGGAGTGGAAAGGGCTCCCTTTTCGGTGTGAGAGGATGTTCCGTGCTTCTTTCTTGATATTTCTTGCGGAGGTTACACACATGGTTACATTGCAGCACAGAGGAGAACTTGGGAGGTTGATTCAAAGCTTGGATGTCTTGTTTCAAGAGTAGACATGATTGAAGGTTTTTCTATGTTTTCTAGAGGTCGCTAAAGGTGATATAGTGTACCTCATCCAAGTGAGACTGCAACTGCAACCACTCACATGGATCCTCAGGCTCATCTTCACCCATGGCACTGCTGAAAATGGTGGAAAGCGGTGCTCAGGCTTAAGCACCAGCAGGCGTTGGGTCCCCCTCCGCTCTCATCCCGCCGAGGCTCCGAGATGCCACCGGTGCGGGCGGTCCTCGCGATGAGCTCCGGCACACTGAGCTCCGCCTGCCGAGGCGCGCAGCGGCAAAGCAGGGATGGACTGGGAGGTGCAGGAAGCTGGGAAAAGTCATAGATCTCATTCACCCAATTGATGCACATAGAAATCGCATCAAATAATTTAACAGATCACCTTATAAGGTTAAAACCAGGAAGATATCATACGAGATATATATATATACGTTACTTAAGTCACTTTACCATGTGTTAACATCGTTTAAACCTTCTTTTCAGGGCCGCAGTCGGCGACTCGCCTCAAAGCCACCATCCCGGGGTCTGTCGATCCACGGGATCAGGGCCCGATCCGGAGGAGTGCGTTGGTCTGTTTGAATGGTCGGCGTCCCCAACGTCCGGAATCATACTGAATGGTGGAATGATGCTGAATGCACTAAGTTGCGACCAAAAACCACCGCAGCTTGCTGCTTAGCTGAATAGTTATCGCGCAAAGCTCATGACAATGCAAAGGTTTAGACCATCTTTAATCTATGCACGATATCTATGGTTAATTACCTTTTCCAACTGTTGGGTGTACGTCTGTCTCCATGCAGCAGAACCAAAGTGCCCGGATGTCGCACACTGGAGTCCTGGGATTTTCAAACCAAAAGTTAAAACAGAAAAAAAGTGCCCGGGTGCCCGTGCTGGACATGTTTCTGAACCTGACTGTGGGTCATGGCACTGGTCATGGCACTGGTCGGATCCGCTGGAAGGTCGTGAAAAAAGGACCGGTCGGGCGAAGGGTCACCACGTCTCCCACCAAACGCCCGAGAGTAAAGCAGGATGTGGCGCATGGAGTAAGCAGGAAGCCCATGGATCATCAAAGTGGTGGATCGAACGTTTGGATCAGCTTGGTAGAAGACATTGACCAAGACCATCCCATCATCCAACTTTGGAAGATGTTCATATATTAGATGTTCCCTTTCTACTCAGTGCTTAATGAAAGATAGCCAGGAGTTGCCGGATCGAACGACATCACGGCGGAAAACCCGGCGGATCGATGGGTGCTAGCAGGGTGTGGATCACAGAGCGCCTGGGAGTTGCGTTTGTGAGTCAAGTACTCGCTGGTCAACACGAAAGCATCATCCACACCCAAGCCTCGGTCTCTTTCGCCCGTCGGTCTAAGTCTGTGAGACGAATGGATGGCGCCCGCCCACCTGTTGACCTGTTCAAAGAGGGTGTTGTTGAGTGGTTTTAAATGATTGGCATCACCGAAGTCAAGGAAATTCATGGAAATTCCCTTTCGGGTCACCCAAAGACTTCCAGGGTGTAGTACACACGAACATGGTTTACGAAGCATGCTCAGAATTAGTTGGTTGGCAAACACATTTTGGAATGTAGCTAAGACACGCATGGCATCACATGTACCTATAGATCTTGCGCTCCCCCGACAAGACAAACCATCTAGACAAACCCGACAAGTTCAACCATCACACGCCGGCGAAGCCTGCTCCAGCCGTAAGCCGTACCTCGAAGGTCTTTGGAATCCTCAAAGGTCTTCCCCAGACCCACTGAAGCGAAGCTACGACTGCAGCCCTCTTAGAAAAACAGGCCTCCAAATACCATAATATACCACCAACGCACCAACGCGTGCAGCATGCAGGAGGCCCTCCGGCCCTCCAGATCCCTGAGCAGGTGGGACTTGCGGAGACACACCACTGATCATCGCAACAAAAAAGGCCTCCTCCAGGCCACGTGCACTGCGGACCGCGACCATCCGCGACGTCATCAACTGGACTTCCAGGCTTTGTGTGTCTTATTGTTTCTCCTGCCGGGTGGCCCAAGAGCAGGAAGTAGAGGTTGTTGTTCAAGTTACCTTGGACCGCGGAAAAGTGCGGCACTTCATGTCATCTGAAGCACGGGGCAATGAATGCGGTGGGACGATCTGTGCGGTGGGGGGCATGTGCAACAAAGGGATGGATATGGACGTCGATCCCCGTTGCGGAGAATCTTGGATGCACAGCTTGGGCGTTCGGGGTTGAAGAAAAGACTGTGAGACATTCTGAGCCGGAATATGAGAGGATTCACACCCTTTTCATCTTTCATCTTCCTCCGATTCCGCCCATCTGCCCCCCACGTCGCCACCACGTGGCCGTTGGGCACCTGGAAGTAGCCCATCAATCCCAAGGTGGAGGCGATCGTCAGTCCGACGATGCCCACCGCCACGAAGGCCATGGCGGCGCCGCTGTGCACCGCGTCGCACTTGCCCAGCATGAACTCGGCGGAGCCGAGCGGACCGTGTTCAGCCGGTGCGGGGGTGGACGGAGGGATACGGATGGCGGAGACGTGGCAGGTGAGGGTTTGGGGAACGGGGCCGGGAAGTGGTGGAATTGAATCGGTGAAAGTGGGGAGGCCCAAACCACTTCCTCCTTCTCAGGTATCCAATCCGGCTGAAACAAAACATGTACACTCCTCATGTCACTCACATGCACCCGGGTTTCATGGCACCCTAAGTCCAACTGCTTTCCTCTACAAACATCTACAAACCAGTGGTTTTCAGGGTCCATGTGGAGTGTTCAGCGGGGGGGCACCTCCCCAACCCGGAGTTTGAATCCACCAAGCCCGGAACCGACGTCCTTGGATCATTGGATCCAAAAGGCTGGTGGTTGGATTTACTCCAGCAACCAGGGAACTAAAGAGATCTTCAGAAGCGGATTCACTGACCGGGCCAACGAACCATCGCCTGATCGCCTCAAAACCGTTCGGGTGAGTCCCGACCGTTCCTGTGGCTCCGTCTCCGCCCTCTCTCAGCCAAAGGACGGCGCAGTACACCTCAGCTGGGCCAGAGCTTGGTGAAACGAAGCAACGAGACCCAGGTTTCGACCGGCTTTCGAAACCCCAGTTTCAGGCTATAAGGATCATAAGCTATGAGCATGTATGTTCTATACCAGGACCTTCCAAACAGGTGGGTTTTAGGGACACCCCTTCTAACCTTTAGTAGGAGGCTATTATATTTATATTCGCATTAAGCACCACTCCAAAGAGGCTTCTGGTCACCGCTCTTCGGAACGAACGTTTTTCTCATAGACCGAGTCCCCAGGGCCAAATGGCCGAGCCGAGCCAGATATCCATCCAATGGCCTTCCAACCCTCTGCTCCCTCTGCAAACAATGTTTGGCAGAAAAGGACTCCTCGCGTCGCGGCTTTTTATCCGGACGAAACCGCTCCACGCGCGGAAAGATCCGGTGAAGGGAAAGACCCGAAATCGGAAGTTCATGTTAAGCTCTCGTGTCCCAAGCCACGATGATCACGCCATAGGAGGCCGTCAGCTTGGAGATATCTCCGCGGATGGCGTTGCCGAACTCGTCGCCCAGCGACCGCTGGAAGAGGCCTGGGAGGTGTGACGTCGCGTTCGTCGCGTCCAGCGGGATACTGGATCATAGGTCCTGAGGGGCCTAAGCCAAGCATGAAAGAGATAGAAATGGCTCCAAAATGCTGAAACTGCTCGGCAAAATGGGCCTGGAATCTCCCTGGAAAACACCGAATCAGTGAAGAATCTGTTGCTTCCTGTGCTGGTTAGTTTCTTTCCACCTGGAACCTTTCAGCAAAATGTTCCACAAAAACACCGGGGGAAGGATCCACTAGGTGTTTGAATATGTGATATCGACATGTAAGGAAGCAAAGACAAGAATAAATCAATATGTCATTGTACATCCGTAATTAGTTGTAGCCTGTAGGGTAAGTATAGAAGTACTATGAAGTACTGTTACTTTATTCTACGATTCCATCCAATTCGGAACATGCTTTGCTGTGCTCAGGAGACTTTCAGAACCTCCAAAACCCCACAGCTGATTGGACAGAATACCTACTCTAGGAGTCCAACCACCATTGATTTAGTAGCCTTTGCCTGGTTTGACTAGGGCTTTTTCCCTTCAATCCAGGTCAACCTTTCTTTTAATGATCTTGCAATTGCTAGGGGCCTATAGATCGGCGCCACAGCGAGAGTCAACTGTCAACCCCTTCTTTTAGCCGTCGCCCCTCCCCTCGCACAGAAAAGCCCCTCATCCTTCCAAGAAAAAAGAACGATTATGCCGCCACATCTGCCGCCCTTCTATCTCCCTCGCTCCATCTCCCTCGCTCCAGATCTGGATCTGGATCTGCAGCTCTCGCCGCCCAGCGGCCGGAGAACTTGAGGATGCCGTCCTCCTGACAGTCCAGCTTCGGCTTCGCCCGGGAGTCCGCATCGATGCCCATCCTGAGCATCGGGGCAATCCGGTGGAAGTGCAGCTCGCTGCCTTCGAGGGTCGAGGGTCGGGGGCTCGACCTGAAAACTCCACCTACTAGGGATGGCCTCCAACCGATGTTGCTTGCCAGACTGGCATACCAGTCCCATTGTTCGTGGACCTGCCGAGCCCCGGTGGACCCGCGGAGCCCCGGTGGACCCGCGGAGCCCCAGTGGACCCGCGGAGCCCCGGTGGACCCACGGAGCCAATCTGAAGAATGGTTCAATCAGCGAAGTGGCAAGCACAGCGCACGGCGTTCCCACTCATCCGCCACAGGGTCGTTGACACCGGCCGTCGGGCAATAGAGCTCCTCCGTCGACCAGAAGGGTCGAATGAGTGAAGAACAGACTCAGAAGCATGCATGACCTTTTACTTGAATGGGTCTGACAAAATATGAAGTGTCCCAGGACCAGCCAAGTTTGGATTGCCAAGACATGTGAACAGTGATTCCAAATGCGGAATAGTCTCAACATGTCTCAAGAAGACTCTATATTTGTCTACTTCATGCAAATTGTTGATCATTTCCTTACTTGCTTAGGCCTCATAAATTCTGCTTTGCTAAAACAAGCTCAGCTGTTAGTAAGAAAGCAAAACCGCTTCTTATAGAAAATCTCTGTAACGTAGGAGCTTCTCAACGATTTCCTTCTTCAATCAACGTCGTCACTATGACCGAACCTGTCGTGCTCCCTCGCTCTTGCCATTGCTTCCTCTTGAAGTCTTCATTGCATGGTTCTTGGATTCACACCTCTCCCATCCTTTTAGTTTCATGATCCCATTCCTCGCCAAAATTCGATGCATAAAAAGCCTATAGCAGCAACAGAACTAGACCGCTAATCTGATAATCCTAGCCAATGAACTTCATTCCGGCTTCTCTGGATGACCCGTCTTGCACCTGCTTGTTCAAGGCCCAAAAGCCAGCGATGTGCTTGCCACCCGCATATTCCCAGGTGCTGTCCGACACCTCGGCGGCTTGCCACTCGTCCGAAGAAGAGCCGGTTCTGCCGAAACTAGCGACAGTGCCGTGCATCTAAAACATAAACCTACAAATACCTGGGGTGTCCATTTCAACAAGCACCTGTTAGGGGCCCGATCCCAGCCAGAAATCAAGGGAATCAGGTTATCAAATTTCGCGAGCAAAGGGGGCATCCCCGTTCCAACCATATTGAAAAAAAATATAACATTAAATCAAGAACAGGGATATGGTGGGTGTTGGTGTGGATTTCGACGTCCGGAGGCTGCGCATATTGTTTGAGTGGCGTGCTGGAGTTGGAAGTTCACCCCAAGATGTGGGACAAACAGCAAACAGCAAAACAATTAAAACAACATACATGCATACAGCATACATGCCTTACATGCACAGAACATCACAGAACACTCGTCAGTGACAAGTGATGCAGTGCGGTGTAAAGTGTAAACAAGTCAAATCAAAGAAACTAAGTCCTAAGTGGAACCAAGTGGAATCAACTGGAACTACGTGGAACCAAGTGGAACTCTGTGGAACCCAGCGGAACTAAGTGGAACCAAGTGGAACTAAGTGAATCTGTGTTTTCCCTTCACTTTGTCAAACAAACAATTGAACACAGTGGAACCAAGTGTGGAAACCTTATCTATGTAGCCCACATAGGAGTGGAAACCATGTGCATTGCTTTCAGTTAGTTGTGGTTTCCACTGCTATGTGGGCTACATAAATATGGTTTCCGCTTAGTTCCACTTGGTTCCACTTAGTTCCACTTGGTTCCACTTCGTTCCACTTGGTTCCACTTGGTTCCACTTAGTTCCACTTGGTTCCACATAGTTCCGCTTGGTTCCACTTAGTTCCATTTGGTTCCACTTCGTTCCACTTGGTTCCACCAGGTTATCCCACCTGGCCACAACTATACGTCTGGTGGTATGTTCACCCCACGACGTCCGGATACGTCCGGATACTTCGAAGTTTATAGTGTAACTTTCGCACTGCCGGAGGCTGCGCATGGATTGTTTTCTCCCTGTGTTTGATGTGGTGTTGCAAACATCTTTGGTCCTGGGTCTCTCAAAGCCTCAGATTGAAATTCGACAAAGTTTTGGCACCTATGACGTTCAAAATATGTTACCATGATAAGATACAGAAATATATCAGAACAAAACGCACTGTACCCACAGTTCAATCAAACATATGTATGCATGCAAGCTGCGGTGGTTAAAATAACAAACAGGCCCTGGGAACCAGGACCTCGTGAAATTTGATAAATCAGGTTTTCGAGGTTTAAGGTGTTATATAGTCTTTGGAACCAATGGGGACATGGAATGCAGCTCACATGTTCCAACTTCAGCCCATCATGAGCGAGCAGGCTTTCGCTCCGGCTTGGTTCGTTTTGGTTTTCGAGCGCTTTTAGATGCTTTTAGGCTCGGGAGGGGCGGCTAGGCTTGGCTACGTAGGCCCGGCAATCTGATCGGTTACCAGGCAGGCCACAGGAAGAGTGTTCAAAAAGGATCTCTTGCTCAAGGCCCCGAATCCGCGGCACACCGTTTGTCCAGAAGTGCTCAAGCGATCCCGAAAAGCCACGTGCAAAGCTGGAGGTTCTCAGGCAGCAGGCCGAGGTCAGAACGTCCAAGGGTCCAGCGTGTGGGACTCAATCCAGCGAAATCACCACCACTGACCAGTCAGTGCACACGCGTGCACAAGGCATTCGAGGCCTCCAGATGGTCTCACTTGCTGCAGCACCCTGCATGTTAAGGCAGGCTTGTATGTTGCCACGGCACTACAGGCGCTCTTATATGAAGTACCCACCAGCACAAGCTGTCATTGATGACGACAGCCAGAGCGCCAAGGGAACAGCCAAAGCGAATGGTAGTCTTTTTGCGGCACTTGATTGGTAAGTTGGTGGCATCATGTGGCATCAGCATATTAGAGGGCGCGCTTTTCTGCGTGAGCAGAGACATTCAAATCATAATATGATCCTGGTAGGACTCGAGCCTACAATCCCCGGCTCCATGGGCCTCGAAAAGGTAACAACTACTTCCGCCTGGTCAAAGGACAAGCCTGGCGAACTGCTTGTTTCAAAGCAGTATAGGAAAGGGATGCTGGACCAGTCAAACATCAACAGCAAGGAACAAAAAATGAACCATGTACACACGTAAGTAGCTACCCGTATACCACACCGCATTACACCATAATGCACCATCTTTAGCATACTTTAGCTAATATATATATATATACCATTGATCACCGGTGCCTTGCGCCCCTTCAACCCGGCCACTCCACAAAAACGTCCAGGCGCCAAACCCAGACCACTCTCCACGTGCCGCTCACTGGTGGACTCGAACAAACCCCATGTGTTTCAGTCCCACCCACCGTCGCCTCCCGTTGGTCCACCCCGCGAGGAGGAACCGACAGCGACCGCGACCGAACCGACAGCGACCGACAGCGACCAAGCGAGGCGCCAATCCTCCCACCATGGTCTTAATCTTCGTCGGCTGAAACTCGAAGGCGCTCTCAGGTGCTTCACCTGGATCCTCCGACGCGACACGACCGATGGGTGCGGGCAAACGTGTGGGGCAGGGGTTTGTGGGCGCACGTGGGGGCGACGGCGGAGGGAGAGGGTTCCGGAGTGTTTCTGATTTTGACGGCGTTTGTTGTTAGGTTCACGTGGGTTCGCGGTTGGGGGACAAATGGGAACAACTCACGCCAGGGACACCTAGTTACTTTCTAGGGGTGTCTAATAATAGCTCGATGAAATCATAACACGACGTTCCACATTGTTTTTTTGGAAAGACCTGCGATGATGTCAGTGCAACTTTGAAGGACTCTACTGTACTCCCTGGAATGGAAGTGGATGGCAATACCAAACAGGTGGTGAACTCCACTTCCATGATTCCTTCAGGGAGTGTAGCAGTTTTTCAGAACGCGGCCGAATGTGGGACCGCATGGGTTTGTGAAAGAGTGATTCTCAGGTTGTAGCTGCTGTTTCTTGGGGTAGCTCAGCTCCAGCTGTTTCATCAAGTAAGTCTAATTACGGCTTACGGCCATCGCCACCAGCGCCACCCCCCAGTCATACCACCATCCGGACCATCTGGGTGCTGCCGGATCGCCCAGCCCGCATCCCTTGGTTAGGGATCAGCCAGGGATTCCCTGGCTCAGGACAGACACGTATGTACAGTGGATGGTCCAGGGACGCGTTGACTTGGTCCATCCTCCGATTCATCCGATTCGCGACCCACGGTCACCCCCCGAAAACGAGCACGATGAGCACGAGGAGCACAAGACACGGGGGGCTAAGGTGACACTGGGTCTCACTTGCGCCTGATGTAAGAGAAGAGAACCATCCCTGTACTTCATGCTCTGTGAAGCCATTCGCGGTGCTCCGTAATGCTTTGTATTTGAAGGATTCGGACCCTCAAACAACAGGGTTTTGAGGGTACCAACCTCTGGTACACAATGGAGGGTGCAAGGATCCTTAGGGTAGATTGAACTCATGAAGCTCAAACAACAGGCCATTCTCATCTCATTCTAACACCAGCCCACCCAACTCCTAGATCAACATCCGCACCACGAAACGGGGCACCAGCTCGAGTCCCAGGCCGGATCAGCCGGGGCTCCGTGTTCAGCATCCCGCTGGCCGTCGTGGTGCTGATGGAGCTCAGGGATCCCAGCTGGATGCAGCCGCGATCCTGCCGTTCATCCGACTCATCCGTTCATGAGAGAAGGAAACCCTTCATGAAACGTCCCACCTGTTCTGGAAAGATGAACAACCAGTTCCGATGTTCCGATGTTCCAACCTACCGGGCCTATCGGGGTCATACCAGGACACATGGATGTGCCCGACGGGTCGGATCGGTGCCGGTGGTGCGGCGTTTTCGCTGGGGCCCGCCGCGGTGGGGCGGTTGCCTTGGTTTGGTTGGTCCAGCGACACGCTTGGTGATCTGATTGGATGTCAGTATTGTAGTGTGAAGTAAGTAAGCAAGTTGGTTAGTGTAAAGTGAGTAAGTATTAAGTAAGTAAGGAAGGAAGTAAGGAAGGAAGGAAGCAAGCAAGTCAGTCAGTCAGTGAGTCAGTATGCTCACTTTTGTGCATTTGTGAATCTTGTCCTGCAATCCAATGCACCTGTCGATGCCGGGGTTGATATCTGAGTGCTTAACGGAGGTGTGGATTCGGACCAGGAGCACCTACCAGTGCGGGGAGGAAAGAACATAGACCGAACACCCATTAGGCCAGGGGGGGGGTGTTGGGGGTGTCTCCCTATTCCAACACACACCGATGCACACCGTTCTCCATGTTCCTCTCTTGTTCTCGCCAAGCATTTGCATGCCCCCGTCCTGGCAAGTCGCCATGTCCACTGGGATGGTCACTTCCTCGCCGTTCACCATCATCGTCATGGTGGGGCACCTCATCCCGTTCGAACCCACCAGTTCCTCCGCACCAGTTCGAACCGCACGGAGGATTGGTCCCGTCATCGGCACACCGAGCAGGAGCAGGCCAAAGCCTTCGCCCCCGTCATCGCCTTCCTACGAACACCATGAAAAGCCTAAAGCCTTCGCCGCTCTGCGTCACGAACGTGCGACTCGCGGAACAGCGCGGGCGCGTCACGGCACGGGCTGAACGCGCCGGTGTTTCGGGGTCCGTCCGAACGGGGGGGTTACGGCCAAAGGAACGTCACACAGCTCTGCCACCTGTGGTGAAGCGGAAAAAACGTGCTGACTTCCATGGACTTCCTCACATGTCTCTCAATGATCCGTCTTTGGCAGAAGGTTCACATATAGTCACATGATCTATTTGGAAGCAGAAGCGTTCACCCAGTGTCGGACTTCGCCACTGCGGCCCCCATTGGAATCCGTTGGGAGTGCAGTCTGTCGGACTGCGCCCAAGCAGCTTTGTCTGGCAGTAGCTCGTGGCGGCAACTCGGCAATCCTGTCGTTCTTGTTGGGTCTTGTACTTTTGGCAATTGCCTGAAGCAAAGATCGGCCACTGCAACACCCCAGCACCAGGCCAGTTGGGGCGCCCCCCCCCCCGCAGACGCACTGCAGGCCAAGATGTACACTCTGACGGACAGATCACATGCTTACGTGGATGGCATGGCCACTTGGAAGACAACTTTCCTTTACAAACAAGGGGTTTTCCAAGTCCATGGTGGGTGACCAGTGACAAGCAGTGTAAGACCGTCCGACGACCCCGCCGAATCGTCGAGTCCTATTCGAGCCTTCGAGCCGCATCCCCTGCTCGAAGCCAGACTCAGACTTGCTTAGAGGGAAGGTACAAGTAGACCCCTCGTCCTCTCCCATCATCCATCTGTTGAAGACCAACACCAATAATGGGATGTATAGGCTATGTGAAGCCTGGAATCTAGGACCTCTCAGTACTAAAAGGCAAGTGTTTCGCTCCAAAGTTCCTGCTGTCCTCTGCCATAAATCTGCTGCTTCGCGGCTGTTGTAGCATGGGGAGTCGCTGGTGGCCAAGGTGAGCGGGCACATAGTCTCTTGGTTCTGCGCAGCAAAGAAAGTCCGTCGCAGGCAAACGTTCCGTCGGTGCAATAAGAGAGCAGTTCTGTTGATGTCTGTTGCAGCTTACGAGGCTTCTTCTAACTGCTACTTGAGAGGAGGGAGACACGAAAGGTAGGACAGCGGGAAAAGAAGAGAACGCGAGAGGCAAGAACAAAAATGCAATGTTCGACATGGTGATTTATCCCGTCGGAGGCGACCTTTCGTAAATATATGTTCATATGCACTCTAAATGTTCAAACATATGCTCTCGAAATGTTCAAAAAGGTTCTTAGGAAAACAAACTTGCCCCATGGCTCAGATCATCGGTGAGCATTGAATCGGAGCATCATAGGATTTGAACTATCCTGAAACCATAAGAGGCTCACGAAGACGTTCCCCAGGAGAGAATTGACGTGCTTCACAAAACAAACTCTAGGTATGTATCCCCTCGGGGAACACCTTTCGTGATAGAATTTCATATGCACTCTTTCTGAATGTTCAAGAGGATTTCAACTCTCCTGAAATCATGAGAGGCTCACGAAGACATTCTCCAGGAGAGAATTGAATTTAGAGGGGGGGGGTGTCTGTATTGAAAAATCAATTCCCAGGGGGCGGGGGGGGGGTTTGTTTTGAAAAATAAATTGGGGGGGGGGGGGGTTGAATTGAATTATCAATTATTAGACCCGGACGCGCCAACACTTGCTTCGCAAGACAAACTCAAGGTATCCCCAAAAGGTCTACCTTTCGTGACTACTACAATTTCCAGATTTGATCTCCCCAGTTTCTGGCTATCTGGGTTTGGCACCCATTTTTAATTTTGTTGCTCCCCCGGCATTCGAGGCACTCATTCTATCTTTGACCTTCCTCTTTTGATGCAATAGAGGGGGGGAATGACATCTGCGAGGTGGGCCATAGAGTTCTGAGCGATGTGATGTCTGCAAAACCGTGCAGCTTAGTCCGTGCTTTCCGACTCCAAAAGTGAAGAACATGTTAAACAGCGTGTTCGTTCGGTTGGATCCTCCTCCTTGATTCTAATACAATACCTGGATGCCAATATACATCCATCGTTGACAGAATCATGTAGAATCAGTGAATCAATCCGAACATCTTCTTGCTGGACCTTGATGGGTCCAGAAAGGCAAGCACGACGTCCGCAGACCTTCGGAACTTTCAACGGTATTGTACCATGACAGTGGCTGACAGTCAGGGTAGCAAAGGGCATGCGATGATAGTTCTCGATGGTATTGACACAGATGTGACATTTAATACTACTGTAATTACTTCATATGGTACTATCTTCACACCATATATATATAAAGGAGAGTGCACAAGAACAATTCTAGTTAATTAATTGTGTGTTTAGAGTCACGAACAAGTCATCAAATTAAATTATTATATACAGTAGTATATATATATGTATATATGCATGTCTTCTCATATCTCTCGTGAGTTCGGTCTATGCCTAAAGGGTTCTAAAGGTATGGAGTTTGCTTTGAACAACTACTTTTGAGAACCAGCAAGTCTGGTATAAGGCCAACTCGTTGAAATTTGCTTTCTTAAATGCTTTCATTACATTATGCTGTTTAATGAAACCAATACAACCGAATTTATGAAACTTAAAAAAGACACATAAAAACAAATTAGCCCTGTGAACATTGTGACCAGGACATAAATTGTTCAATGTGTCATAATTAATTGTGTTCCTATTTTTTTGTAGTTCTTATATTTTTCTCGAAATGTATGAAACATTTTATGAGCCTTCTATGAAAAGATTATGAACAGTGGCATGACAATGTTTTGTGAATTCAGGACTGTTTGTAAATTGTAAAAAAGATATGATCCTTTTATGCCGGAATTTATGAACAGTTTACAAAGTGTAACAATTTACGGTTCTATAAAATCCAGCGTGATGCTTCTCAAAATATCTATGTTGAAGTGGTTTGTACCAACTTGCTGGGTCTCAAAACTACTTGTAGTACCTACAGAAGTAAAATGTCAACAGTGCTGATGGCTCCTTTCTTTTCCTCACCCTTCCTCCTCCGCATCCAACAGGCCAGTGGCACCATAGGCAAATAGCTATGTGTAACACACACCTTTTCACCAGCTTCGAAGGGAGGGCTTCACGCTTGGCTTCAATGGACCGCACGCGCGTGATGGCATCGCGCCTCCCAGCTGTTGACCGCCAACTTCACCTGGGTGCTGTTCAAGTTGGAGATGACATAATCATCGCCCCGGAACCTGTGCTTCGAAACATCGCCGAGTCGTCGGTGCGACCACGAGTCGCCGGGGGCGAGTGGACGGTGCGACCGGGAGTGTGAAAGCCTTTTGAGGTGTGCCTGCATGCCACATCGTTGTCCCTGGTACGAAGCACACAAGGATTGACACAGCTTGATTCTGTTCGCGTGAAGGCAGCAAACCCTGCGAAGTGGCCCTGCTGCGAAGTCACATGAAAACTACCCATTCAGCTTCGAGAAACCTTGACAGCCAAAAGAGATCATACAGTCACAAACCTTCAAGTATCTGCACAGCCTCTGGAGCCAGGTCCAGAGAAGCAGCCAACGAATGAGAGGCTCCGGTTGGGTATCCATGCCGCTTGATATCGCTTGATGCTTAGATCAACTCTGCTTCCACCCCACAACCGCAAAGCCGGACGGGACGTTGACTGTGAATATAGCTGGCTGGTTGTTGGAGGCCTCCTCCCCAAGTCTAATTCACACCAATGTCATGTCCAACGTCTATCTCTTGATGGATGAACCAACCCCTTCAGCAAAGCCAAGCCGAGCCTGGCTTTAGGTGTGGACCTCTCCTTCAGACCCTGACCGTGCATCACCAAAAATTTCATCAAGCGACACATCCAACAAGCTGGATTGAGCACAGAAGGGGCCGAAGCTGAAGCATTTGCGGCCATTAAAGACCACGGAGCCATTCACCTGGGTCCGGAGCCATTCATCTTCGATCAGCGGCTGTGGGTCGGTTCCCTGGTCAATTACAGAAACTGCAAGACATGAAGTCCTCAAAGAAGGTGCTTCTTCCAGAGGGTCGTGATATCCCCAAGAAGTAGTTGCCGCCTCCCTGCCTCCTGAAACACTTAGTGGTGTGGCTTTCCTATTTGCATGCTGGGATGGACTGCGGCACTGCGGCATGTGGCCTGCAGATGGTGCGAAGGCATCTCCTCAACCTATTTCCTACTTACCAAGCGAGCTGTGCCCCAAAGCTTAAAATTGACTCATTGCCTCTGCAAGCCTGCTGAGAACCCATCATTATCCCTTGATTCCTGCTTTCGGTCATTCAAACAACTCCTTGATGATGTCTTCCCTCGTCATCTTACTGCATATCTGCAGCGAATCTGTACTGAATCTGTACCGTCCCTTTGTCCCCCCACTCACCTCCATCTGACCCTGTCCTTCCACTTGCCGTGCACCCCCAGCCCCGTCTGCACCGTTTCGAACCGCGGTGCGCTCTGCGGATCGCCGCTGAAGCCTCAGCGGGTCGAGACTGAACCACGGAAAAGCGAAGCCCCGTGCGGGCGCCGCTGATTCGGGTTTTCGTTTTGTTGGTTTGGGAGGAGTTGGAAGGTGGAGGAAAAAGGGAATCAACACAACACAACAGGGAATTCAAGGTTCCCGAATGCCAAACCGTTGCGGTGGTTCCAATCCTCGGAAGCTTTTGGGGGTCTCGCCTCGCATCTTCTTGCCTCACGCGGCCGAGAGAGACCCCAACATCATGAGAACTCAGGAGAGGCTGTGGGTCTGTAGGTCATACGCTCGAGGCGCCCAAGTCATACCCACCGCTGGTCCTCACACGTAAACGTGGCACCGCTGTGGGTGCTCCCTCTTTCACGGGACATATGGGGACCAACCAGAAGATCAGAGAGGGAGGAAAGCTCACCAAAAAATGAACCGTCCCAAAATCCGGTGGCATGGGGGTTGCTACATGAGACCCATGACACTGGTGAAGGGGGTGAGGACGGCGGAATGCCTCTCGTCCAACAGTCTCACCGTCATGCGGCGACTGAACACCCAGGGACCGTCACGGATGTTTCTGCCCCTCCAGTGCCCCTGGTGGTCTTTTCCTTCCGGCCACAGCTCAGCTCGTGCCTGTAGATGCTGGTCTGGGTCTGTGCTGCAACTGGTGCCAAGAAGCTCCAGTTGCCCGCGTAGATGGTCCAGGGTCGGTTGTCTCCTGACGACAGGCTCCCTACTTCCACCTTCCGGATCAAAGCCGTAGCACAAGTTGAGCCCTTGGCAATACAAGCCCTGACCGGTGACCACCTGATTCCTCCCACCCAAGCATCACCAGTTGGTGATTTGGATCTGTTTCAGCACACCAAAGCCCTAATGTTGCTTGATGTCGATGTCTTCCAAGCATCACCCGTAATGTCCGGTGACTTTCCCGCGTTTTCACCACCAAAAGCTGAAGGCAACTGGAAGCCATAGCTGGCTCGGTCTCCTTCAGACCTCTTGTGATCTTCATCCAAGTCCTTCACCAATTGGTCGCCTCAGCGCCGTGCGGAAGGCTGCTGCTTCAGTCGGACTGACTTCTGCGGTACACGCGAAGGTCATGCACAAAGTCCTCCCCTGTACGTGTGACTGAGGCATGTTAGGGTATGTATGTCAGCGTCAAAGTATGTATGGCTGTGGTTCTTACCTCCCGGAAAAACTTGTATGTCTTGGTCTCTCATCACATCAGGAGATGATCAAAAATTGAAGACTGTCAGCAATCATGCTGCTCAACAATCAGAGCAGCTATCACTTGGAGGCACTCACTTGGAGGCACCTCCTGGCACAAAACCTCCAGCAGAAAACCTGGGCCGCATATAGTGGTCCCAGTGGTCCCAAAATAGATAGTGGCACGGTTTCCAAGACATTTTTAGTGGGGATCCACTTCTCTATCTCTTGGTGGTAAAAAAGGGACCTCCATTGCCCTCACACAGAGTTCGATCGAAGAGTTTTCGCAGCACGCGGTCTGCTGTCACTCTGCAGACGATTCGCGCGATAGGGTCACTGACGGGCATGAACCGGTCTCCACGAAATTGAGTCCGAATATTGTAGAAGCAGGAAGTTCATGCGGAAAAAAAAAAAACACTCCTGTGTGATCCTGTGTGGCATGGTGTATATATTGTGCCAAAGCAAGCAATCAAAGTGGATTGACGAGTGGTCAGTGACTCAACACCTTTCCAACTTCCCCCCCTTCTTCCGCGCCCAGCCACCATCGATCACGATGTCTTTCACTGCCCTCAGTCTGCAGTTGTTCGGCTCAGAAAGGAGTATCATTGGAGTGGCATTTCTTCCAGATTCCGGGCGCATGTTCTTTCTTGTAGCCGAAAACCGGTCGTCTGCAAAACTTTGCAGGTAACGTGCAGGCTGTGCGAAGTCGCTTTCTGCTTTCGGTCGATTTCAGCAGGTCCAGTAGATACGTCTTCCGTCATTCCTTCAATAACAAGTGCATCGCTTCTAGTAACAAGTGCCTTACTAGTAGAAACAAGAAGCTATTAGGAACAAGTGCATCGCTTCTCACAATATCTTCTTGTTTGTCTCTCAATTTTTTCATCTCAGAAAAGAAGCTGCAAGCTCTGAAGACATGCAAATGCCCAGAGCCCAACATCAACTCATGGGAGAACTCTGATTCCTCTAATTCTGAACACAAGCGAGCTGGACGAAGTGTTCAACTGGCGAAACATTAAAGTGTCAGCTGAATCTGGGGGGGGGAAAATGTGTTTGGGCGCTAAACCGTTGCTTTCCTGACCGTTGCGTCTCTGACTCTCTCCATTGAAAACGATCGGTTCACCTTAGGTAAAAGGAATCCCCCAAAAAGGGCAGGGCAGGTTATCCACTCTTTCTGTTGGGCTTCCACGGAGGACTCCGTGTGGTCGGCCCCCAACCTCTATAGACGACAGGACTCAAAATGAAGCACTACATGGTAAAGTCTTTTATATGTTAGTCAAATGTTAGTCAGGTAATTTACCTTGAAGACATGTGTTTCGATCATCACCCACTTTTGGCTTGCTGAAGCTCCAAATGCACCGTGCCTTCTTTTCCGGATTGTTTGACCTTTATATCCCTGACCTTCGCGAGTAATCGGACTTGGAAACCGACCCGTAAGGCTGCCGACCGGATTCCGTGAGGCTGTCCCGAATCCCTTCGATCGGTTGTTAACCAACATGAGAAGGTACCATTTGGCGGCCAGGACGGTCCAGCCGTACTTTTGCGAGTTAAGATGAGTTAAGACTGACTAGACTCAATCCAAAATCCACTAGCCTCAAAGACTATTGTTGAACCTTGTTGAACATGGTCTTTAGGTGACCAGAAGTCGGACATGTGTATATTATAGGACCATCTTCTACTTGGGCGGTGTCAAACAAGAGTCGGACTTCATATCGATCCCCCGCACCTCTTGGGGACCGCCTTCGGGCGTAAAACGACGAAGGCGACCCACAGGTTTAGGGGGGGAGTAGGGGGGGTTTTCCCCCCAAGCCGAGCCGCTCGTTGATCTCATGGAAGCGCTGAATGTACTTGGGATCCATAATGTTACCTCAGCGGCATACGTACGTGACCGAGAGCTCAGCGGGTCACGGCGTCACGGAAAAGCGACCCTTCGCGACCCTTCGCGACAGCGACGTGGAGGTACATGGGTTCCAGTGGGGTCACGACCCATCCCCAAATCTGCTTGAAAGCCGCTGAATCGAATCATTTAGACTCCGTACACTAACCCCATGTATTCGGAGTGCGTTTGTATCGGGGCCTCATATTTCACACTATGAGAGGTCGATTATACCTTAAACGGACGGAGCATTTGGGATGGCACTGAGCCGAGGAAAAAGGCCGCCTTTCCCTGGAGATTCAGCTCCCTTCAACGCTGGGAGCAGTCTTCAAAACTTGAAGAACATTGAACTTCCAGCAGTAATAGAACCCGCCCAAGCCAGGAGATGTCAAAGCATTTTGCTAGGGGAGGCTTTATGAATCAGAGTGCCAACTTGGAGGAGACATGTTTTCCATCCGCTCACGTGGGATCTCAAAACCGACAAATGTGGTTCAAACCATGTTTAAGACACGTGGTCTCCATTCGTGATCAAAAAAACATCAGCCCGAAGCTTGTCAATACTGGCCTTGTGTATCCTTTTGTTAGCTGGTCAATGCGCAGGAAAAAAGACCACAAAGGAATGTCGTGTACCACCTTCGAATCCTGCAGAAGGGCTCAGAGCAGGGGTGCCCTGAAAACCACACATGGTATAACAAGAATCTCTCGCCCCCCAGCCCAGCACGGCTTCGATCCGCCCAAGAAGCAGTTGGCTTCGTCCACATCTGCGCAGGTGGCCGAGAAGAAATTGAAGCGGGCGTTGCCCGGCCAAGTGTTCGACACCTGCGGTGCTGTGACCAAACACTGGGATCTGCTTCGGGAACCAAGAAAAATTACTTACTTACTCCAGGAGTCACAAAGGGGTGGTGTTTAGTCCCATCCAGTGAGTGGAGTAGCTGGGCACCCCGACTACCTCCATGGATCGCACCCCGTCGAACGTGACTGCTTCCTGTCATGTGTGTTTTTGGGGCAGCCCAAACTTGCCAAACTTGATCGGATGCGACTCCTGCCCAACGACGGCTCACGGCTTTCGGACGACGCGGAGTTCGCTAGCTGCTAGCTTCTGGTATTCGAAGGTATAGCAGTAGCAAGCTATAGCAAAGTATAGCCATACTTCAGTTACGACAGCCTCTGTGGCTGAAAAAAATGAGGGAATATCATGGAATATCCATGAATATCCGCCAACCTCAACTGAATGCCCATTCGGACCCAAGCGGCATAGTCATTGTGCTCTAACGCCAAAGATCCTGCGATGAAAAAACGACAACGAGGTTCGACCGTGCGATCAAACGGATGCAAAGTAAACGATTTGATACGTCGTGCCCAACCCAGCCTGAACAAAACAAACAGAATTGATGAATTCATCAATATATATAACTTGGGTCTCTCCTAATACCTGTAACAGTGGATGATGATGGTTAGTAACGGCCTTGTCCAAAATAGTGATGATATTTGTTTACTACTAGGACAGACCCTAAATATAACCAATAATAATGTAATTTAACATCATATACAGTACCCTCAAAGGCATAACTTGGGTCTCTCCTAATACCTGTAACAGTGGATGATGATGGTTAGTAACGGCCTTGTCCAAAATAGTGATGATATTTGTTTACTACTAGGACAGACCCTTATAAATATAACAATAATAATGTAATTTAACATCAGATACAGTACCCTCAAAGGCGGTAAATCACTGTAATAACACTATGCTTATTGAATACTCACCTGCAACTGTTGCAGATTTTTGCAACCCACCAAGAGCCACCGGTATATTGGGGTTCATTCCCTCATTCGTTGCTATTCACCAGTCAGACGAAGGGATCACCAGACTTTTTCCATGAGTCCTCGGATGTTCGAAAACCTTCCTGCCAAGCACCAGACCGACCGGTCTGTGTGCCAAAGGGGCGAGTCGGCGCGGCCGACAAAGGCACAGTGTCCAACATACAGGTGCTCTCCAGACTCTGGAGCCAAATCCAAAACGCAGTGCTGCCATAGATGGACTCTCAGAAACAAAAGGGGTGTCGTGTCGTCTTCCGTTTTCTCTCGGTCTCCTGCAGGGACCCACTGCTTCTCGGGGCGCGACTCAGTGGTCAAGAAGGCGAAGCCACCGCCGCACGCGATGGTGAAAATGATGCTTCCAACCAGGCTCTTGATCTGAGGACAGAAGGAGATGGCATGGCAAGGACCAACGGTGAAGGAACCTAAACCATTCGCTCTGAAACAAATGTGCATGTCACCCTTATTTGGCCATCAATTCTAAACGGGACCCTTCCGGGTCTACTGGTTCTACCGGGCGGTTCCAAACGGTCTTTTTTTGCACCGAGAAAGATCGTGATTGCTAACCTGGCAAAACATATTCCCCAGAAGTGGATTTACCCATGATTTACCCATCAGGGAAAATTAAAATAATCACCTTGACACCAGGCTAGCTCGTTTCGGGGGCGGGTCTGTACGCCTCTTTGTCTTCGCTGCTCTCTTCCTTTGCGTTCCGAGCTGGATGAAGGTATGGACCCAATGGATCCGGGTACGAAGGCGTCATGATGTGCAGGTGGACCAGCTAAGAGGTTCGCTAAAACTGGTGTGCAAACAACAACAACAACAACAACAACAACAACAACAACAACAACCACAACAACCACAACAACCACCACAACCACAACCACAACAACGACAACAACAACAACAACTGTAGCAAATAGGATCAAAAAGGTGATTGCATGCCCGTCATTGAAGTTATTTGGGCTGCTTGCTTCCTCCTCTCTTCCTCCCCGACTAGCCCAAAGACCCTTCGAAATGGAGGGAACACCCCAAACTGCAAAAAGCCCGAAAAGGCCTCTGGAAGTGAAAGCCTGGTCCTGCCACCGCTGGCATCATTCAACCAAAAAAATCTTTGAAACAAAGTCAGATGATGTTCAACACTCTCGAAGAAAATCCACAAATGCGTATACACGTAGTTCTGCAACTGAATCCCTGCAGCCCCTCGTACAAAACCAAAAAAAGACGTTCTGCCGCACACCTTCTGCAGAAACCCCAAGTTCCGTATCCCTCGCTCCGCCGCTCCGCCCCCCACACCAACCTTGCATGGCCCAGTGGCCGGGTGCGTGCCAACGGCCCGTCCCACTTTCTCAAAGAAGTTCTCTAAGCATCGCTCCACGGCGCCTCAGGGGAGTCACTCGTCGGCCGAGTGACGCTCCGTGGGTTCCGCTTTCCGGGCATGGCTCTTGCTTTGGAGGGACCGACATGAGGAGGGAAGCCGTGAGGTTGATGTGAAGTGAACAAGTGGCCGATGGATTTGGAGTAGTTCCTCAGTGAGGGCGCCTCCTTTTTGTGGTGTCCAAGTCTGCAAAGATCTTCAACTCGCGCCTTAAGGGACTTTTGGAGCATTTCTTCCATCTGCCCCACCATGTCTCACCAGATCTACCCACATTCCATAACATCCCACGATGTTCCGACGTCTGAAATGGCAATGGAGCTCCAAGACGCCGATACCCATGGCTGAAAATCGAGCTACTTCCAACAGCAGGTCGAGCCGAAAGAAAACTCCCACAGCAGGACCGGCTTCAGTTGGTACGTCGTCTGGATTCTGCATGATGCTTTGAGCTCGCGGTGAAGCTCAAAGAAGGAAGGTGGATCTTAAACCAATCAATACGTCCACACTTGCCACAGGATGAATGTAATTACGAATGATTGCGAATGAATGCCATCAAATCAATCAATGCATGCCAATTCATGCTAATTCTGTGAAGTGGCATCCTCCAACTCTGCCCTGCTCACTTCGCCCTCCAAAAATGCCTCTTCAAATGTCGAAAGCCCGAGCGGCTCGTTCCTTCTCGACCCCTTCGGCTGACTTCGAGTGGATCCCAACGGTCACCAGGTCCGAACGGTCACCAGGTCCGAGCCGAACGGTCCGTGCATCAAAAAACTGACTGGTGCTTATCAGGGAATGAGGGAATGGATCCAATCGAATCTCTATTGGGGGCTCATTCCCTCATTCCCTGCGAGTCGCACCAGTCAGAAAAGACCAGTTACCAGTTCGGTCAGGAGTGGCTGTCGGAACCTGTCAGGATCGGACCTTCACCTCAAACCCACTGGGGAAGGAGCGTTGGTGCGGCACCTCATAGAGCTTCTCGGCGCAGGTAGGTCGGCTTGGCCTGCAAGTACATGCAAAAACTGGCTTGGCCTCTATGTGGTTGTCACAAGGGCCCCCAAGATTCCCTAAGTTTGTGGTTTAATGTAGTTTATATGGACTCCGACTCCTCCCATATGTTGTTCATATACGTTCAAGATATAAACAAAAATCTGGATAGTTTATGATAGTTTATTGTAATATGGATGCCAGTGTCCTCTACTCTGAAACCACTGTATACTTTAATAGCGAGACCCCCGTTGGCCCAATGGGTATTGAGGCGACATCTGGGTCTTAGTATTCTTTTTTTTGGAATGCTCTGGCTAAAGGATCTCCCGATTACACACCCATGTCACATGAATGATCATGCATGTAAGCACCAGGACGGATGGATCTTTCCCCTTGAGTCAGTGCAAATCATTGAGATTTAAAGGGGAAAGTCTTGTTGAACTTGAGATTCATGGAGATCAAAGTTCTTGTTGAACCTCGTTAGACTGAGCTTTTTGTTGTTGCTTTCTCCTTTTTGTGGAAGGGCAGTCAAACACTCACCGTTAGACCCCGCAACCGGCGGGAAAAGCAGAACAAGTTGGTGCACATTCATGTCACCCAACCCTACTTGGAGGTGCCGGGTCTCCTTCCAAACACACTCCAAACTTCGAAGGGCAAAATCAGGTTCCTTTGGGGATGGGTACGTTCCCTAACAATACAATATATACAATGTACAACGACAGTACAAGTACATGTTACATGATGGTTGTTTGTCTATATATATAATATGTAGTTGTTCGTCTATCTTTGTGGGAGTGGCACACTCAAACGGCTCAAATGGCCACGGCTTAAACAAAAATCGACCAGCCCCCGTGACCCCAGTGGATCCCAGTGCCTCTCATGATGGGTGGCAAATCTCGTTAAAACCGACAAGCACATCACAAACGCCATTTTGCCAGGCTTTGCCTGGAATCTCTTATGACTCACATTGCAGTAGCAGGTAGCGGTCCCACGACTTTTGCAAATTTTTGCCACGACCTTTTCTCTTCCTCTGAAGGACTTTTGCCCTGTCGGCCTCGTCAGCCTCCTCATCTGAGGACTCCTCGGGATCCGCCACACTGCAGCTGAGCCTGGCAAGGCGTCGCAACCCCACCCGGCTGGAGAAACTCTTCCGGCGGGGCTTTGGTGAGGTGACACCACAAAGTGCACGGGGTGCGAGAGCCAAGCCAAGCAGTTTTCAAGGTTTCGGGAACTGTCTGAATGACGGCATTTTTTGGACCCTGCGGTAAGCGCAGCCATGGAACTCAAGGCGAGGATGTTTTGTTCATTTGCTTGTTCACACCCTGAAAGTTAATCACCATGATCTTCGTGATCTTCATTCTGCACTTGACAAGCACGCACATTGAGAGCAGGACATGATAAACAACCCAAAACAATTCAATAAGGCCAAAGGCCTCTGCGAGGTTCTACGATGGTTCTACAGTATCTTGCCACGAAGGGCCTGCCATCGATCCTGACCAGAGGTGTTGTCGCCCACGGGGCTGCTGCCAAGGTTTCTGTGGATCTCGAACGCGAACGATCGGCACGATCCAATGCCCGAACATCACAGCAACACTACCACCACTACCACTAAGTGCTACTGCTACTACTACTACTACTACTAATACTACTACGACTACGACTACCACTACGGCTACCACTACGACTACCACTACCACTACGACTACCACTACGACTACCACTACCACTACGACTACCACTACCACTACCACTACCACTACCACTACCACTACCACCACTACTACTACTACTACCACTACTACCACCACTACCACCACCACCACCACTACTACTACCACCACTACTACTACTCTTCCTACTCCTACTCCTACTCCTACTCCTCCTACTACTGCTACAATCCCCACACCAACAGTTACGTCTCCTCCTGTCTGACATTCTTGCGGTTCCGCACCTCTGTGGATAGAAGCCTGCAGCAATGCCGAGAAATCCACGCCGTGCAACCAAGCACATCGTGTCATCAGACCAACCCTTTCGGTGAGTTGTTGGTTGTGCATCCTATAGTTTCAGAGTAGATGACATTTCTCTAGAGGTGGCTCTTCCAAACAACCCTAGTTGGTCCATTATGATCTTTGCGTATGTGCCTTTGGGCCAACTTGGGCGTTTCTCGGTGAGATCCTAAGCCTGATTATCTTTTCACTACCCATCATAGCCGTACACAATTCCCATTATCAGAATATACAACAATCCTTTGACCCTCCATGGTAAGGGTTGGTAAGGGTCGCCTGAAAGACCCTCTCATTGCATCAGGCTGCATTCTTCATAACTTGGGGTGGCAGCTAAGGGGGCAAGGATGGCCTCTCTTCACGTGGGCCAAGCATCCTGACCCTTATAAGATCATATAAGACTATCGATGTCTGGCCACCCATCTGTTTTTCAACATCAACTTGCCCACAATGGGCCGTGCCTTTTGTCATTCTTTTTCCAAGATCCTCGCCTGCACCACCGGACAGCAAGGCTTGCCGCTGCTTGGTGCTGGCAGCCCCAAGCCTCAGTTGCATGGTGAGCGAAGCTACTGATCAGCTGGGTTGGAGCGCCCTCATAGCAATCCGGGCCCCAGAAATTCACCCAAATTCGATATGAATATGTATATAATATATATATATATATGTATATTCTTGGTGAATAACTTCCCGGTTGGGTGCTAGAACACCCCCCATCAATCCAAGCCACTTTACCCACTCAATATTTCAATAATTAGATTCACTAAGGGAGGTTATATAATTGACTGATCATCACTCTGATCATCTGATAGCCTATTCTGAGCCCAAATGTTACCAGCCAATTCCTCTCGTGCCTTGGTTCCTATGAACCCATTGCTTCCGGGCTCTGGCCTCATGCGCATCAGCTCATCCCCTCTCAAACCTTGGTATCAACCTTTGTGGTTCAACGGCCGCCTCATACCTCGCCGCATAGCCATAGCATATTATTCAGAGGATTTCAGGGGAGGTGGACCTGATGAGTCAACTTATGAGTGGTATCTCAGACCTTGTTGACCTTGTTGACCTTCCATGTGGGGGGGTTATTGATCCGGGGTGGCCATTATATCCCCCCAAACCTCACGGTTCGAACCACCCCCAAGGCCAAACAAGAGACCAACCTCCCAAGGCCACCCATGGCCCAATTCGACGAACATGAACTCCTTCGACTCCTCCGACCGGCCGAAGCTGGGTGGAACGACGACCCCTTCGACCTGGGCTCTCCAGGCAGCACCGTGGCGTTCGCACGCTCCCGGGCGAGGCGCGCGTGGAGCGCCGCGGGCAGCTGGACCTGGCAGACGTGGGACGTGGACGTGCGGTGAGTTTGAAGGGGGGGGGCGTGTAGGACCGTGTAGGAGGCCAATTCTTAGTGGGGTTTCCCGGACTGAAGAGCAGGATCGTGTTTAGGTTGTATTCGGACTGATGTTGTTTGGCGAGAAGATCGGAGAGCACATACATAAGCCTTCAAAGAGATGGTGTTCTGTAGAAACACCAGTGATCCAAAGAATTTTGGGGTGGCGTAATGAACCCTACAGGTACAAACCAGCTCTGTATACATGATAACTTAACAAAGCAACAAAAGGAGAGCAATCCCCAAGAGAATCGTCCATGGAGCCACTTCACTAAGCATCAAATTTTCTGAGTCAGGGCCAAAAGACACCAGACATATCTGGCCGGTGATGCAAAAAACATGGGGAGGCGCCCCAAAAAGACGATCAACGACACATCTGTTTCAGACCTTTGCTGTTCAATCCACCCACCCAAATGATGCAGAAGTACGACCCCACCAAGACGTCGACCCCACCAGACGTCCACCGTCTCCCCACCCAGAACGTCGCAGAGCGCAGCGCAGCCACCGCCCCGCCGACGTCACCGGAGCCTTCGTCTCTGGACGCTCTGTGATGTTGACCCCGGTGCCGAAGAGCCTGGGGCCCCGGCGTGGAAGCTGCGCGTCGGACTGCGATTGGACAAAGGGGTGGGGGACCCAATGTGAACTGCGGGCCCAGCGAGCCCCCCAAGTCAAACCACGTGGAGCTGCAGGTGCATGAGGATGATGTTTTTTTTCCAGTACTGAGTCCAGTCAGAGTCCCATTTTGCACCAAATCCCATGATATCTCATGACCACTCTTACACACCTTTTACTCGCCAAGAAGAGTCACAGAGTTTTAGTATAGAACTGTTTCTTTAGCTGCTGAGTTTTGTGAAAGAAACCCCTGATGACCACCTTCAGCTGCTGCAGCCCACTCAGCTCCCACACTTGATGACCACCTTCTCTCGCACCTGGTCCGATCGGTTTGCTCCACGGATTGAGAATCAAAGGACTTCGACGTCTGGAACCGGCGTTCCGAACGTCCAGGACGTCCAACACTCTTCTAGAAGACATGCCCATGGAGAGAAAAACAACATACTGAGAAGGGCCCCATAGCAGTCCATCATACCCACAATGATGAGTGAAGAGCTCGTAAATTGTTCAGCACATGTCCTTCAGTTGATGATGTACATCGGCCAAAAACGGCCAGCTCCAGGGCCGGCCTCCGGGTAATTACTCGTTTCACCCAGTGGTACTCGCCCGGTTCTTTGTGTCAACCATTTGTGGCATCCCGCAGCACTAAGACACCGATCGGTTTTTCCCTTGTCCGCAAGGAGGCAACTCAGGCTGCTAAATCAAGTAGCCTGATGCACCCAAAGGCAGCCTTCTTCAAAGACAAACACAATCAAACTCTAGTGGACCATTGTAAATGTAGCTTCTTGATTAATTTAACAAATATAGTTGAAGTCACTATTACATTGCTTAAAACACCAATGGTGTTTAAAAAGCCACTGCCTACTATTACCTTGCGTTCGTCTACTCTCTACCATCCACTCCCTATACCACGAATCCATGCGTTACGCGACGTCACGGCCACGGCCCCGAAGGCTCGGAACATCTCCCATCTTCCTCATTCACCTCAGACTTCACTCACTTCAGGTAAAACCACTCGCAGAAGAGAAATTGGGCGATGTGATGTGAGTCACTCCGCCTGACCCTTCGTTGGCGGAATTCGTCCCCACCACATGGCCCGCGGCCTTCTGTGGCATCACCACGGAGCTCCAGGCAGTGGCCACATCGCTGGGCCTCGAGTGGCTAAGGATATTTTCTCCGTTTCATGAGGTGCTTTGCACAGCTGAAGGATTAGAAGCAGATTGGAACCATACATGAACATACTACAATGCCAAACAGCATCAAACAGCTGCTTCCAAGCCCCATCTGACCCGCAGATCCCGGAGTCGCATCCCGACGTGCACGGATCCGGATGCTGACCCCCACATCGTACATCTACTCCACCGGATGCTCCCCTGCGCCACATGGATCCGAAATGATCCGAATCAAACCGTGTTTAGTCTGAGTCTAGAAACATTGGACAAACATCGCGAAACATGGCACGGACAGGGTCCGATTGAAAATATCCGACCAACCTGTTTGTTTGTTTTGATATGAACGATGAAAAAAAAAAAACATGACTTCGAACAGGGTCCGTCTGTTCTCGGAGGTCCAAGTCTTGCGGGCAGGTTGACAAGCAGGCGCTCCTCCAGTTTTGAAGAAAAGCACTCGACAGACATCTGAGTGCGAGTAACAAAGGGCTTCGCTACTAGGAGCGATCGCACGCTACGAACGTGGCTCCTGGCCTTACTACGAACGGAACAAGCCTCGCTACGAACGGAGCTTTTTGGGGCGCTTCCTGACTTCCTTGCTGGGCCCAGGCCACACCGCTCGGCTCAAACCGCGGAACACCGGACGTGGAACACCGGACGTCCCGGCTGCACGGTCTGGAGATACTGGAGCATCTCTTCGCTGCTGTTGGAGCAACGGCCCAACCTGAGCTTGTGGGAAGTCATGGGTCATGGCACGGTCTAGTTGCGACATGTTTGAGGCAGGTCTTCTTTAAGCCTCTGAAGAAAGAAGGTGGATTCACATGCACCCAAGACCTTAGACTACAATGTAGTGAAACAACATATTGACACCCTCCCGCCAGTTCTCATCAACCCAAGCCATTGTATAACTGCGCAAAATCCTCTTCAAAAAGAAACACACATCTCACCTTTTCTCGGTCTTCTCATGCTGCTTTCACCTACATAAGTGTGTTCAGTTCTTTTTTCTGTTTGAACCACCAAGAAACAAGCCATAGGCACCACAAATGCCCCCGCAACACCAGAGCTCTACCTGCGACTCCTCCCAATATCTGATGCCTGTCCACCCCCGGTCCACCCTCCCAAGAAAGGCTTCCCTTCCGTCCGACCCCCCCAGGGCTGGCTCGACGGACTATTCAGGGGCGGCCGGGAAACGCAATGGGCCCCCAAAAGCGCTCCATCTCATCGCCGGTCGACCTCGGACTGTGCCGGTCGACCTCGTCGATCGAGGTGACTGGGAGTTTACCGAACTGAATGGAGGCCTTGGTCACCTCAACCACGATCTCAAGACACTGGGAAAGTCCTGGTAAGGATTTGGGCAACTAGCAAGAGAAGACAAACCCATAAGTGGCCAACTGCAAGCCTGGAAAGGTCCTGAATTTGTGGGCCAAGCTGGAGCGGGGCGTTCGTCGATGGAACAGCGAAACGCCAACCTTTTGGAGTGACTCTAGTGCATCTGCGAGCAGAAAGGAGCGGGCCTAGTTTCTACTTTCCCGAAAGAAGTTGGTGAGGCTGGTGTAGGATCAAAAACGCAAACGCGTCCATGGTATAGACTTCAAGTTCAGGTCAAGAACATGTTACCTACTGCTGCACTATATAAACTCTTGAGTCTATTCGATATGTGCCCGACTTGTGCACCATCGCCGTCAGCCGCCCACAGGTGGGTCCAGTCCCTCAGAAAATGGGTGCAGAAGGGGTTCGCAAGCTGTAGCAGCCACCAGTTTGTGGCTTCAATCCGGCCTGCGACATGCACCACGCCCTCACAGTTGCCCAGACCGAGGCTGAGGCAGTGGAGGTTGAAGGAGTTGCAAACGAAAGGACTCCTGCGAGCGACTTCTTCGGCTTCCACTGTGCCAGCGAAGTCCCGTCCCCTTCAACTCCACTGAGGAATCGCACATCCTCCACTCCCGTCGACTCGGTACCGACGACCCGAATCCCAATCCGACGTGCGGGAAGGTCCTGGAGCCGACGGTGGTGCCACACTGGACTTCTAGGGTTCTACTATTTGTGGTGTCAAAGCAGAACACATGTCAACACGGTGAACACCTGAAGTTCGTTCGTGCAGAACACGCGAGTACCAAGAAACCGGAACGAAACGGCCTCAACCGGTTGAAACAGCCGTCCCGTCCTTTTGAAGACCCAGTCGTCATTAGGTGCAACAAGTATACAAGTATATACGTACAATATTACGATATACTCAATCCCTATTATTACCAATGACAATACCGGGTATGAGAAAAGAAACGAGAGAGTCTTGGCCAGTGTCTTGATGGATCTACAAGGCCTACAAGGCCATTTACTACTCAATCTCTGGAGGACCCAAGCTTTCGGCCGAACACTTCACCATCGGCGAACGCAATGCCGGCAGCGACGAAGCTTTGGGTGCTTTCAAGCCAAGACTTGGGCCCGGAGAAGAAAGAAGAAACGATTGGTTAACAGAACAGAACCTGGAATTGTTCAATCGGGCCATTGGGAGCTTTCCCTTTTTGGGGCCTCCTAGGGAGGGAGGAAATGAGCTGGCAGTTCCTCAGAATTGTTCTCCTTGTTCCATGAGAGGAGAAACCGTTCTTCCTTCCTTCGTTCCGTGGCATAGAAATAGGCTTAGTCTCCACCAATCTCTTGCCCCAGCGGAACTGGCCGCTGGCAGCAGGCCCTCGGCTGACAAGCAACCGGACCCTTTGGACCTCGGGTCTCTGAAGGTCTATAGTAGTCGGTCTCACTGCTTAGATCTGCTAATCGTCTCTCTCCACCGTCACCGGGTGGTCGCCACGTCCCCCCTTCTTCGCCGGTGGCCCCAAGAAAACGGGTCCAGGCCTTGATGCTGGCGAAGTCGGCGGCGCCTTGGTGGTTTCAGGCCGGAAGTCAGGCGTTGAGGGTGGCGAAGTCGGCGTGGCTTCATGGTGGTTAAAAACCCATTGTTCGATGTTAAAAATAGATATGAATGATGACAACTAACAAAAACAATAACCAATTAAAATATGCAGATAGGAACTTATATATAATAGTAATACCATGTAATAATGTAATAACACCTAAGAACAAAAGGTCTGCAACAGCAAGCCATGCTTGTTTTGTTGGTCACTTTCAGTTTCGTCCAAGCCACTGAGAGCCTCGAGTGCTTCCACGACATCACCGGCCAGAACCTGCCAACAGTTGAGCTGTTTCAAGCACCAAAACATCAAAACCCACGACGTCGCGACGTCGTGTTCCTATGATTTTGTGTTTTTTTGTGTCTTTTTCCATTGAGAATGTGGTTCAAAACTGTTTCATTGTATCTCTATTGTATCTCTTCCATGAGTCTCTTCGTTGGGTTTCTGGGATACCCCCAAAAACCAACTGCTGTGGATTATGGCTACCCCAAGCAAGCCACAGGGCCATCATGGGCCACGGGGCCAGGGACAGGACTAATGTCCATCCAACAAACCATTCGGCCCACCGTGGACATAACAATTACATCCTTTCGGTCGTTGAACCACCGTTCCAAGCGCTACTATTGGATGCTGGGTCGGGTCGGTGTTGCAAAACGACTCGACTCCGCCGCATCGGAGGAATCCAATGTGTCTCATGGAACGGAACGATGCGACGTGCGAAGCAATGGCTCCAGTTCTTCGTGCGAACGCACCCTTTCGCAAAATGTACATTGCCGGCTCCAGCGCTGCCCAAATGGCAGCGCCCGCAACCTGAGCTTGACAGCGCCACGGAGCAAGCGTTGAAGAAGCAAAAGGGCAGAAGGGTTGCACAAAAACATAAAACATAAAAGACAAAGAACAGGTGTGCTCAGTGTGCTCCCTTGAAAACATTTTGAACATGTTGTGCCTCAAATGCATTGATAGTTCTTTTGTTGAGGCGCTCAGTTGTTGTGTTTGTAGTACTCTTGGAAGGAATCCGCCAGATATTCTCCAAAGACCACCGGCGTCTCGTCCGGCGGCGTGCGCTTCAGCCGCTTCGAGAGCGGCGGGATCAACTCAGTCTCCTCTTCTTTCCTTGGGATGCCAAAAACACTGCAAGGCTAGAAACTGTGGGTTGGGCATGTCACGTATATCCTACCAGGATACAAGAGGATGATGAATGATGATGGTTAGTAACTTGCTTGTATGTTATGTTTTTGATGTTTTTTTCCATCTGGGAGACCCCCCCGGGATATCCCTCGCCCCTTGGCGGGCCGGATGTTCCGAAGCGAACCCGACCGACTTCGGAGATCGGGTCTCCATCCTCCGCCTTGCGGCACCACCATGCGGCACGGGCCCAGTAGGTTTCATGGGTGTAAACATGTGTAAACCACCATCCAACATCATGAAACCGTCCAATTCCAGGCGGATGATTTCCCGTCGGCCACTCCCTCCACTGAGTGCGTTTCTTTTTTTGATATGTACCAGCGGTGCGTTACCAAGAAGTGGAGGTTACGGCGTGAACCACGGAGGTCCTTTTGGGGAAGAAGTTCAGAAGAAGGGGGGTACTACATATACACCACTTGGTGGTAGACTTGGGGGTCTCCCCACCACCAGTTTGTGATGCAACACGGCGATGCAACGCATGCGTTTGGACCATGGTGTGATCTCGATGACCATGACCATGATCGCCGACAGTAGTTGCAGCACCAAGCTGTGGTCAGACATAGAAGTAAGCGCTTAAGCGCTGGATTTCACCCCATCGGTGGGCCTGTAGTGGGGTCCCAATAGAACAGAATGTCCACTCGTGGAGGATGGCTGGATGAAACTCGCTGGAGGATGGCGGACTTGAGCTGGTGGACGAACAAATTAGACGGATTGGGTCTGGTGACCCGGTGAAGGAACACAATGCCACAAGCATCTGCGTTTGGGTGGCATGAACGCCCTGGCCGGATATGGATTTGGGTACTTACGCCATGAGTGGGTGTCTATTGAAATAGGGTGGTGCAAAGAAAAACATTGGGAAGGAACAAAACATAACAAAAATGGTACAAGAAGTGGAGTTGAAACAAACACACAACTCTTAGACCAGCAGACTAGACACGACTAGACTGTATATGAAGTGCTGAGGGTGGAGGGTCTTCCCTCCCAAAATATTCACCCCCCCCGGCTCCAGGCTTCAAAACGGAGTCGTAGCCCACGCCCTTGGGAGGTGCAATCGCCGCGTCCCACTGCGGCTCAATGAAGAGTGCCTCGGGGCGAAACGCGTGAAACGCGGCGCGGAGAGGTCGCGAAACGAAGGCTTCAGTGGCTTTGCTCCAAGGGGAGCGGATCTGTCAACCTCCATCCAGTGAAGAATGATGCTGGTCAGGGCTTTCACCGAAATTCCAGCGAAGTGGTGGCCCGGCGTGAAAGGGGCCCATCCGAAACCTTGGGCTGGGGACGATTTCTTGTCGTCACCTCTTCTTCGGACCGCAACACTCACGAGGCCTAAGTAGGAACACCAAGGCCGACGTGGTTGTGAGCTCCCATCGCCGAGACCCTTCCTTCGGATATGTGGGTCGCCAGCGGGGCTGTCGGGTGCTCCGAGTGATTCGTTTCTGCCTTGGTTCGTTTCAGAACGGTCAGCTGTCGGTCACCTTTGGTGCATGGCGAACCCATGAAGCCCCTGATGGAGTTACAATGGCCCAGAGCTTCTCCAAGGGTATAAATTGTATCTTTTCTCAGCCACCGAAACGATCCAAGCCAAGCTAGGCCAAGCAGTTCATAAATGAGACGGCTGACCAAAAAATGGATTGGATTGTACAACCTCATAATAATTTTAGTTAATAAAGCAGCATGTCTTTCGTTAATCAATTGCAACCGTCTACATGACTGGTCAACTTATCTCCTCATTCACACACCAACCGTCCACCCCGGTCTCCGACACCGTCCACCCGGTCTCCGCCCACTTGGATCGCCGGAGGGGCGAAGGACTCCCGGCAAATGGGCCGTTCACCCTCTCCTCGGGAGCCGCGGACCGTCGCGTTCTGCCGCTTCGGACGGTCCGGGAACGACGCGGGAAAGGCCCCGGAGGTTCTTCCGGGGACGGAAGCAGCTCGGAGGTTGGAACGGACCGGGAGAAAAAAGATGAAACACCGTCTGGCCATCCGGATGGTGCTGTTGCCACCGTGGTATGACCCGTGGTCAATCTCTATATCTCAGGTGCTGCAGAAACTTCTGCTGGTTTGGTGGAGAAAAGCCCGGGTTGAATGCAAAAAGCAGGTGCGAAGGATGGGTAGTGGATGTATGATACCATAGTTGGGTGGTACCGTCCACCACCTACCAAAATAATAAATAACTATTTTGAGGTGGGTACACCCACCTATTTTGTTATTAATTCTGACAGTCCGGACTGCCCAAAAAAATATTCCTTGAACTTTCAAGGATCTTGTCAACATCATACAACTAGGAACATGGGGGTGGGTGGTATTCCTGGGGATTTACCGGGAGATGCATAGAAAGCGTCACGAACAAGTCATTCCACACTCAACCACTAACAAATTAATTTGCCAAGTTCTTTTTCTGCTGTCATCTGCTGTCTTTCTGCTTTCTCATTTGCGGCCTACGTGAAACCATGGCGTGCCAGACTCCATTTCATGGCGCCTATCACAAGGCCATCCTTCTAAGTGATGAACTGAATTACTGGGAAAATCTCCTACATAGAAATAGTTGATTTATATATACAGATAGATATTATCTTCCCTCATCTTTTTTCAAGTCACCACAATATTATGTCTGAGGTGGTTGACTGCTTGCTCCACCAGCCAAATACAATCTGACACATCTGGCACAAGCACAAAATCAAAAAATGCACCCTTCTCCAAATCTGGGACTCAAAATTATTTTGAAATAATTGTCCTAATTATTTTGGGTCCTTGGACTCTCGACGTGAAAATTATTTTGACCCCCACCACCACTCCCTGTTTGAAATAATATCAATGTGTAAATTATTTTGAAAAAAAAATCAGTACAGTACTGCCACCTATGAAATAATTACATATGGCATCGTACATGGTAGTGGTTGGAGGGGGTGCACCCATGTTTGATGCAAAATCCTGTACATACTGGTGTCCAACCTACGTAACCAGGATGTCTTGACATGCTGGGCAAGAAGCCACTCACCCATGATTGGACCAGCAAGTCCCCCTTTTAGTACAAAGACCTTCCAAAACTAGGTTCCGGGGTCCTGACCAATAGCTTTCATCTCCCTCAGGATCCGATGCCCAGTCAGGCTTGGTCAGGCGACGCTTGGCATCGACTCCCAGCATCGAAGGGTCCGCCCTTTGCCAAGCAAAAAGAGGGTCCCGTCCCGGCTCGACTCATGGAAGATGGTTGAAGGGATCCTTCCTTCCCAGGAAGCACATGTCACAGGGATGGGACCAAACCTCCTCCCCAACCTGCTTGGCAGAAAAATAATGGAAGCTCGCGCCTTCCGCGGGGAAGACCGGAAATACCATGAAATAACCACTTGCGAGATTGATGGGCGGAGATTCTGGGGTGATCCACCCCTCTTCTCAGACCAACCCACATGTGGCTGTGGGTCGTGGCACCTAGAGCTGGTTTCACCCCCACTGCCATGTTACCTCGGCCGCTCCGCTTGACCCAGTCGCTCCGTTGATGGGAGCGGACCTGGTGCGGCGTCGCCACCAAGGCCCCTCCGCTCAAGACCTGGGCGGCCTCGCCTGCGGCGTGGTTTCCCGAAGCTGTTGGGTGCTGGGCAGGTGATCCAGGTGATCGGGTCTGGAATGCTCTGGTGAAAGGATCCAATTGTGGATGTAACACCTATTTTTCAAACTGAATCTAGGGGCATAAGAGTCTTGGGAAACCCAACAACAACAACAACAACAACAACAACAACAACAACAACAACCACAACCACAACCACAACCACAACGACAACGACAACGACAACCACAAACAGCAAACAACAAACAACAAACAACAACCAACAAACAACAACCAACAAACAACAACAACAACAACAACAACAACAACACCAACAGCAGCAACAGCAACAGCAACAGCAACAACAACAACAACAAGTTGGCACAAACAAAAACTGCAGCCCCGTTACAAGATATTTTGTTCCTTTGTCTCTACAAGGGGGTGGAAACAAAATCTGCAGCCCGCCGTTGCTATTTTGACCCCCCCCGAAAACAACCAGCCAACATGTACTTTTACCAGTAGTGGTAGTGCTTGTACTAGTGCTAGTA